GTCAGCTCTGTGATTGGGCCAGTGTGGTCTTAACTTGCTTTGCCATCTTTTGTGGTCACTGAGCTCACCAGATGTACTCTGATAACAGTCCCAGGGCATGCTTGGCTACACTGTCAGTTTATTGCTGAGAAGTTCCTGGGCAGCCAGAAAATGCCCCGGGTGGGCAGAGATGATGAAGTTGTCTTGGGTGGCAGCAAGACAAGAGGATGAAGTTTATGCTCCAGCTGTTGGGGAGGGGAAGGTTGCTCAGTACAGCAAAGGGTGAAGTATATCAGATTTCTGTTTAAAATTTGGTCTAATATAGGAGTCTTTTTTGGACTGCCTTTTGAATCTGATTATTCACAGCTGTTCATCAGGGAAGGACATCCAGGGACATTAGTCCATTTTTAGAACATGAAATGAGGAGTTTTCTTTGGTTGGCTCTGTTGTTTGTTAGCTGGCTGGATTTGAAATGTCAGTAAACTGGTGTTAGTTTTGGACAGAGGAATGTGGGTCAACATGAGAGGTGGGGGTTAACAGCTGGTAAGAGCGAATGGGCCATGTGTGAGAGAGAGAGGAGATAAAGCTAAATTTTCAGTGTTAAGTGTCTGTGTTTGCACCAGACAGTCAATGAAGGCATGGTTATTTTCAGATTTAGGTTTTTTTAGATTTAGATTCGGCAAGCTTGAAAATTGGGAATTTCTCTAATAAACTTGAGATGACTCATGGTGGGCACATTACTTGCTGGGGAAGTGATATGACCCCCCATTTCTGCAAAATGTATTTCAGGGGTTTGACGTGCAATGAGAAGTTCATAATTAATCTTTATCCTTATTTGAAATGTTTTTAACCCTTCCTGCCATTCCCATGTGGTTTTGTGGCTCTCCAGGAGTGATTAGAGGGATTGGCAGCCTTTTTTTCCCCCATGACTGTGGAGCTCTTTTTTCTGGTCAGGATTAGATGTCAATCATATCACCATTTAGTGAGCACTGGGCACCCAGTTTTACTAATGAGTGAAATCTAAAGAATCACGCCCAGAAGTTCAGTAGCAGTTAGGATCAAGAAAGTTTTTAATATTTACTTTTTAGGCAGAACAAGCACTTTTAATTTGCATGATTGCTCATATCTAGATACAGTTCTGAGCTGTTTTGGGGCAGGAATGCTCAGAGTTCTGCCAATCCCTAAACAGGCCAAAAATCTATGAGATTAAAAATAAATCTGAAGATTTTTTTGTTGGTTTGGGTTTTTTTTAACTCCTAGTAGGGCAGCCCTCATCCTAACTCAGAAGCAATCAGATTGTTGTTTTCGTGCTCTCTGTTCATGAGAACAAGAGGTCACTGGATGACATTACTGCTTTGTAAATTTAGAACAAATAAAAGGAAATGGTGCTTCACCTAGTGCGTCGTCATCCTGTGGAATATGCTGTTCCAGGATGTTAGTCAAGAGCTGTAGCCGGAACATAAAAAATAGCTGGACCATGCTCGTTTGTAGCCATGTTCCCCAGCAGGGATAACCAAGCCTGGTGTTCAGAGTGGTGGCTCATTGCAGCTGTAGCTGAGAGTGAGCTCCTTGGACTCCTGGCTGGGAAAGGACAGCATTCCAGGGGGAAGATTGGTGGGGCTTCTTTTGAGATGAGGAGAATGATTTTATTTTTGTGCGAGATGTTAAACTGATCATCGCTCTTGCCTGAGCAGCGCGGTGTATGTAACAGCCTTGCCCCTCTGTCGGTATCCTTCAGCAGGGGGATGTCTGGAGCTGAAATAGCTGTTCAGGGAGAGGGAGGGAGCAGTGGCAGCAGTGTGAGTGAGAGCTTCTGTTGCTCAGCCGAGTGCAGTAGCACACGTGCTGCCCTGCAGCCGTGCAGGAAGGAGCCGCAGCTGCTGCGCTGCAGGGCAGGCACGAGGGGCTGATGCTGCCAGGTACCCGGGCTGGGGCTGGGTGTGGAGTGTGTGAACGGCAGAGCTGCTGAAGGAAGGGGGCTGTTAACACGTTTCTGCATTCCTGATTCCTTGTTAAGATGTTTAACTCTAATACCGCTGCCTGTTGATCAGGAAAACAGGTTTGGATGGTTTCTTCATTTCCCCAAATAATTGCTGCACTAGTTACATTAAAATCTTGTCTGTCTTTCATAGTGAAGTCTGAGTTTTCCCAGTTTGTTCTCCTTAGGAGAAAGCTTTTTCAAGAGGTTTATTCTTTATTTCCCATCTCTGGTGATACCAATAAATCCCAGTGCAAATGTTGCTTTTGAACTGACTAATGGGGAATGCTTTTCATATGTTTATCCTGCACAGTTACATTTTTATTTGCAGTTTGTAGTTACACAATAGACTCTTTATTTTAATTCTGTGACTCTTTATCTGGATGATTCATGTATGAAAATCTTTTGATCTCTTTATTTATCCTCTTGTCTTATAAACTTTGTTCTTTGAACAGAGGGTTGTCTAACACTGAATGTGGGGATTTTTAAGATGATGTAGTAGGTGACTTAAGAAGGAATTAGTTGCTTTCTATATTGGATGTTCTATCCAATTATCCAGGAAGTAACTACCCTCAGAAATTAATTCTTAGCAAAGGAATATCTGTATTTCTGTGTTTTATGTCAGTGTTTTAAATTTCTAGTTTTCCACTGTGATTAAAAACTATGCTGTAAATTGCATTTTCCTTCTGTCCTCCCAAAAAGGCAGAATAATAGGAAAACAGACAGCACTGATAGGAGTGTTCTGAAGCTGTTCTTCCCCAGTGCTCCAGAGCATGCCAGTGACTCAAATGAACTGGTGGCTCCTTAGAGAATCTGGCTGCTTTTACAGCCATGAAAGGTCCTTGGGTGCTTCATCCTAGGATGTTTGGACTTTGTATGTGCTACTGTTGTATGTATGCAACTATAGATGTTCTTGGCCTTATCACCAGGAAGAAAGTGAGGCCCAGTGGTGTCTGAACAAATTAGTTAACCTTGGTTTTACTTCCAGGGAAAAATCTGCTTCCTCTTAGCAGGACTCAGACATGCCCCTTGTTCTTCTCTAGCTTCAAACTGATTTATGCATCAGTGTTTCATGCTCTGGAAAAAGTTGCTCTAGGGCAGTCATTCTTACATAGCAGAGTTTTTGATGAAAATACATTTAACTAAAAACATTTTCCTGCTTTCCCAAGGAAGAAGAAAGATCCTGTGATTACCTTCTTTGGAAATAAATTTTTTCAAAGCTGGAAATGTTTAAAGAAAAGTGAGGGAAGAGAGAAGGAGTTCTTCAAAGTTTTATTTTTAAAATAGTGTAAATATTTACTTCTGTGTGCTTACAGTTGATACAGATCTGGTCATTTTGTCCAAGATAGAATGCTTCAAATGCTAAAACTGTGTTGCTAATATGAATGGCCAGTCCCTTCTTTACAAAGGGATTTAGCTCCTTTCATTGCCTTCCTAATGTATCTCTAGCACTGGTTTCTAGGTATTGGTCATGCCTCTGGGTAGGGTGGTGTTATTGCAGGGGAATCTGCAGTCTGTGAATGAAAAGAAATACAGTTTGAAAATTGAAGACCTTAAAATAAAGCAGAACTTTCCAGGTGTATCTTTTTAGTTGACATTACATCCACATTTCTTGGCAGATGCTCTGAGGCACTTCAACATCAACTGAAAGTTTGGTGTTCAATTTCAGAGGCTTTTATTTTTAATCTGTTTTATGAATGATGATGAGAGGAGTGAGAAACAGACTGGAAAACAGAGATATTAGGTATTGGAGTGATGTGTGTGGGTGTTTTAGTGTTCATTAACAAAACTGTGGCTGAATGGTTGGGCCTCCGGAGATTGACACAATCCTAGTTTATTTTAATCCATTCTTTCAGATGTTAGGTACAATTTGCTTGAAAAGCAGATGATGTAGACAATTTTTTTCATGTACAATATGTAGAGGGGTGCAGGAGAGTCTGGACTGCTGGAAATTTTTAGAGTTGACATAAAATGGAGCCCTTTGATTTTTGTAAACAGTGCTCAACCTTAATGCAGCTTTTCTTAAATCCAGGTCTTGAAACACTTCAGTATTTAAGTCAGCTTGATGGAAATCAATACAGAGGTGTGCAAAAAGACACAGTGAGATAACTGCACTGTGGGGAAGAAAGAGTTTAGTCTTAGGAAGAATAAGGGTTGGTATATAGTCAAGTCTGGACTCCAGTTGAATGGGCAGCCCTGAGAACAGCAGACATGGTCCTCTGAAAAGCAGAGCTTTTATTTCTCTCTGCTGCCACCAGCTGACTGAAGGAGAGGGATTTGGTGGTAGAGGACACAGAGGCCTGGCACTTCCCTGGGCAAAGGGGAGCTTTGGCCACCCTGCGTTTCTTCTGCTGGTTTATTAAAATATTGGTTATTTAACACAGGCAACTAATGCATGGGAATTAGCCCAGGGTGCAAACACACTGAGGACAGGATTGTTGGAGGGAGGTAAACTCATCACAGCTTCAGCCTGATAGGGGAACATTGGTTAGAATATCTTTTAGGTATGTAGAACAAGCGCTCAGGAAACATGAGGGTTCAAATTGCTTATTTTGTTTTATTTCTCCCCTCCCCATGAGGGAGACTAAACAAATTGTCATGACTAAACAAATTTTTAGAATGATATTGTAGAGTATGTTATCTGATTCATTAATTGCTAGAAACTGGTATACTATGCTATTAACAAAATGTCTTAATGTTCTTACCAGTTTTGAAAGTACAGTAAGTCCTTTAAAAAGACTTATGCAAGGTCTGCACATAATTACTCCTGCTGATCCATGCTTGATTTGTGTTGTGCTGTTATTTAGGTATGAGAGATTTCTTTACTCAGTTCAGTATTGGGAATGACAGCTAAAATCTTGGTGGTTCTGTACATTTAGGAAGAAATTAAGGTGTGCTGTGATGGAAGAGAAACACAGTTCAGAGGTGCAAATAACTTTCATTGTGCAGCTCTGAAAATAGCTTCAACAGGCTGCACTGGTGGTAAGGTATTCTCTTGCTGTCTCTCCCTGACATGTCCACTCCTCATTTTCTCTCTCTTCAGATTATCACTCCATGTCGGAAGCTCATCCTTTGTGCTGATAACAGAAAGGAGATGGAAGATTGGATTGCAGCACTGAAGACTGTCCAAAACCGTGAACATTTTGAGGTAATAGGAGAATGTGTTCCTTTGTGTTCTGTGCTTCCTCTGCTGGATTGCAGCTTGTTTCGAGAGTCAGCTCCTAGTGGGCTCAATAGAAGTAATTTTATTCACTAGAATAGGTAGTAGTGTTAGGACCTTCTGTAGAATTTATCCCAGATACATTGAAGTGATTCTACAAAGAATGTTTGGCTTTGTATATGCTCCCTTGGGAATTCAGAGAGAATTTTCAGAGCATAGATGGGTTATGAAGCCAAGTTCCCCTCCCACTGTCTTTTCATTTTCCAGTTATCCTCCCTGTCCCAATTCACATCTTGCCTGCCTGATATTCTGCCAGCTTCAGTGCATCTACCTGCTTCCTGGGGCTGAGTGGGACCAGCAGTGCCACCACAAAAAGCTGTCTTGTGTTTTCCCCACTCTGATGCTTGCCTCCCTTATGCTGGCACAAGCATTTCTCTGCTACACAATGAGCCAGGCTGGGGAACTGATCTTTCTGAAAATTTAATCTGACAAAAAAATGGGGTAAATTCTCCAGTTCATTTCCCTAGACACACTTGTAGTAAGACAAGGATGAGATGTGGTACAGGAGCTGTAATGAAGGTGTGGCTTTTTCAGGTAGTCTCTTTTGCCTTAGAGACCTTATTGAGTTTCAGCTAATGCATGTTTATACACTCTGCACTCTTTCCTAGTGAAAAAGTGCTCTCTTTCTGCTTTTCTGACTGCTTCATGCAAGTCTTCTGAAGAAAAAAAGTCTTGTTGCTCTGCTTTTGACCTTGCTGTAATACATTTATATGATCAGTCTACCCAGTACAGCATGGACCATTTCTCAGGGATGCATAACTGGTACGCCTGCTCCCATGCCCGGCCAACGTACTGCAACGTGTGTCGGGAGGCCCTGTCCGGGGTCACGTCACACGGGCTGTCCTGTGAAGGTAAGTGTGCCCTCAGCCTCTGCCTGGGGAGGAACAGCCTCGTTTTATTTTTATTTTTGCCCATATGCCCAAATACTGCCATCTCTTATTAATGTCATATGTCTGCAATGAGCAGATACACACTTCGGAGGTATCTGAGAGAATCTTCATAAGAAGATTCTTATTCATGGGAATAATTGTATTTGTAAGAAGATCTTTGTTTAATGTTTGAGTGCCAGGAGGTTACTCTTTCCCAGCTTTGGCTTAGCAGAAATGCCTGGCACAGCTTCTGTGTCTAACATGAATGAGGTGATATCTGCGCTGTGTAAAACGATGGAGGAGTGTGTGACTGTGTAAATCCTGTTAAATTTAACAAGGTGGTCACTAAGCTTTGTACAAGCAACTGGCAAAAATGACAAGGCAAGAATTAATAGCTAGATGAGAATACTTACAGCTGATCATTTTGGTGGTGCTAAAAAGGATAGTGTGCCTATGCTTTCTTCTGGAGCCAAATACACACTGCTACATTAGACTTCCTGAGGCAGGATTAATTGCATTCATCTCTTCCTCCATAGTGTGCAAGTTTAAAGCCCACAAGCGCTGTGCTGTGCGGGCAACCAACAATTGCAAGTGGACAACTCTGGCCTCTATCGGGAAGGATATCATTGAGGATGAAGATGGGGTAGGTGTTAGTTTGAACTTTTCCAGCCTTACCTTGATATGGAAGCACTGCCTTGTGTTCTGTAGCTTTTTTCACTTCATAAATAGCAGATTCTGCCTTTACATGGAAAAGATTTCTACTGTCAGAGCATGAGATTTTGTGTAAAAAGTCCAACCAGGATAGCAAGGGACTCCTTAGTAGGAATAAACTGCTGTGGACTGGGGGAGCTGAGATTAAATAATTGGAGGCATGGGGAACTTGATCTAAGTTTTGGCAAAAGAAAAGTAAATGAGTGTTTGGAACAGCACCTTAGCATATTGGGATGTCTGATGCAAGTCAGCGTTTCTTGGGTAGTCTGGGGTGAGTCACCTGGACTCTGTGCTTGAGCATGATGTAAAATGCCAGAATTGGTCCTCAGATGTTTTCTAGAAATTGCCTTTGCTGTCCTTCAACAGTGCATATGAAGACTTGCTTCTCTATGTATCTCAGTCATGATGCTTCCTGTACCTTTAAACTTCTGTCCCTCTGTACCTTTTGCAGATCTCAATGCCACATCAGTGGCTGGAAGGAAACCTGCCCGTGAGTGCCAAATGCACTGTGTGTGATAAAACCTGTGGCAGTGTCCTGCGTTTGCAAGACTGGCGCTGCCTGTGGTGCAAAGCCATGGTGAGTTGAAAAAGTGTGATCATTCCAGTAAAAGGAGAGCTTTTGATCAGCTCTGTGGTATGTTCTTTCAATGACACTTGCTTAGAATAAAATCTCTAACCATGCTGTCAGTGTTTGCCGTGAAGGACTTTATTGTTCTGCAAGAAATAGGAATTTAATTTGTGCTCAGAAGTGTTGCTGTGATACATAAAAGCAAGACCTGAAAAAAGTATCCTGCTTCTAGCCAAGCTCATTTTATTTTGAGAGTGAGCTTTCATAGAAGAATCTAAGTACAGTAGACATGAATCAAAACTTCTGTCATGGACTACATTGGATTTTAAGGAGCCATTATTTGTTATTTCTACAGGTTGAAAAGGTGCAACGAATTATAAAGAATACTCAGCTATTTTAATAATAGCAATTTCCCTTCCATTGCAATAGATTGCTTTTGCCTAACCACTGAAGTGATGCAGATCTTGCTGTGTTTTCAATTGTCTATAATACGAATAGGAGAAGTATCAGAAAATATCTTTTTAGAATAGCCAAGCAAACCCTCTATCTTGCAGTCTTTGTGTACCAAAAAAAGCCCTGCTCTACTTTGTATTTCCTTTTTTGAGTGGCTTCATTAATCTCTTATTCTTTTACCTCTTATATCCCTCATGTCTTCCTGGTTTGTTTCTTTCTTTCTTATTCTCTTGAATTTCCAGCTTTTTCTTTTGTTGCTACTTCAGATCTCTCAGCTGAGGCTGGGATTTTGAAAGCAGAGTGCCTGAAGGCTCCTAAAGCCACAGAATCTGGTATCTGGTTCTCTCAGCACTCAAAGTGCTGATCTCATAAGCTCAAATGGCAGGATAGAAAGAAGAGAATTCATAGAAGACTCTGATTAGATCATTCTTAAAGCAATTTTATCGATAAATTTATCAATTGACATTTTTTGGTGATTTCACCCCCTTCGCATTCTTCCTCTTACAACTTCTTTTGGGTGGCTTTAGGAATTATACCACAATGTCCAAAAGAGTCTGATTTATTCTTTTTTGGTGGTTTTTCCAGGTACACACAGCATGTAAAGAGTTGTTACCAAACAAGTGCCCTCTTGGGCTCTGCAAAGTGTCTGTCATTCCTCCTACTGCTCTTAACAGCATTGATTCAGATGGTAAGTATTCCTAGTAAGTAGCACTTCTTTCTCTTCCTCTCAGTCACAGTCACTTCAGCTGGCACTATTAATGCCAGATTCTGTCAGCTGAAAATTCTGCTTTTGCTGTTGCTGAAACTTGCCACTGGAAGCCATTGCTGAGTGTGGCAGTGAACTGTTTGCTTTGCTTTTGCATTCAGTTTATCTCCCTCTAATATCAGTGTTTTCTGAGCTGGAACTGATTACATTTATTGACAATAACTGTATTGCAGAATCAATTTTGGAAGGTTGGGGAAGCTAAACATTTTGGCATACTACTAGGAGATAAGTGTGACATTTGGCAGCATGAGGTGTGGTTCATGCTGGATTCAGGGCTGTGCCCATTCACCCAGTGAGTGCCATAAACACAAGGAAATATTAGCTGCTTCATAGCTGGGCTTGGGTGTGGGCTGTTGGTTTTTCTCTCCGTCCATCCCCCTGGGCAGCTTCACATCTCTTGGCTTTTCCTCCCTCTCTCTTCCCTTTGCCCCACCAGGTTTCTGGAAAGCCACTTGTCCCCCTTCTTGCACAAGCCCTTTGTTGGTCTTTGTCAACTCAAAAAGTGGAGACAACCAAGGTGTAAAATTCCTACGAAGATTCAAACAACTGCTGAATCCAGCCCAGGTCTTTGACCTCATGAATGGAGGACCTCACCTTGGGTAGGCAGATATTTTTTGGAAACAAAAATTCCTTGTAAATACCCAGAAAGTATGAGGGATTTACTTGGTTAATCTCATCCTCAAATATAACAGGGAACCTATTCCTCAGAGAAAACTAAACATGTGAGGTTTGGAGGGGTTATTTATCTCTGTGTTGTGTTATTGATTAGCTAAAACAAAAAATGTTGTCAAAAAGGTTATTATATCCATTCATCAGTAATAGCAGGACAACTTGAGGCATTTTGGGGGAATTCCAGAAACACTCCCCTGGAAGAAGACCAAGCATGGAAAGCTTGAATCCATAAGAAAACTTGTTAGCAAACAATCTTTTAACAGGCATCCTGATGATGAAATTAACTGTAAAAAGAGTTAATTTCAATTAACTCAGGTGAACAGACAGATGTCATAGATAGCAAATTAATTTTTTATTGTCAAGATGAGATTTATTGAGAAATAACTTACCTGAGAAGTCTGTGAAACTTCCATCGTTCAAAGACTTTGTGGTTATATTGTGGAGAGACTCTTACCGAGTGTGTTTGGTAAAGTTGGTTCTGCCCTAGGATCTAAGTTGTTTCAGACTTTTTGCCAAATTATGCTAGAATATCTGTGGATAGAAAAAAAAGTGAGTGCTGTGAAATAAACTTCTTTTGTGTATTTCTGCAACGCTCACTTAAAAGTTTGGTCTGAAGTTTGCCCACTTCCAGATGTTTTTCTGTTGCATCAGATTTAAGTAACTTTTGTCATTAGTTGGTGCTCCTTATAATAACAGCCAACACAAGGTGAATTTCCTTCATCTTTTCCTCACAGTGACTCCAATTCTTTGACTAGATCTGTAGATGCAGGGGGCTAAATCTGGGAGTGTCTGTTCCTGGATTAGTGGTCATTGGGTTCTGCTCTCCTGAGAACTGTTGTGGTTCTTTGCCATAGCATATTGCAAAACACTGGCATTTAAAACTGTAGTGTTCTGTCGAGGGGATGTGTTTGGCTGAAAAATAATTTATAAAAGACTTGTAAAATTGATTTGTAAAATCAATAAAACTTGTAAAATATTTTCTTGTTCCCCTTCCCAGCCAGACTGACTGTCATGAGGCATTTTGCTTTTAAGCAGGAATGGAAAGGAGAGAATCATTTACCTTCTTGAGCTGTGGTGCACACTTCTAAAACAGCTGCTCTTAAATATTTGCTCTGAAAAGGAAGTGATGGTGCAGAGTACAGCCTGCTTCTTGATAATTTGAATATTTTCAGCTGATGCTAGTCTGACATGTAGCATAAGATGTTGTCATTTCTGGCAGTCATCTTTTGTGTGTCAGGAACATTTGATAAAATAAGGATTGGTGCGTACTGCAGCAAATCCTGTTTCGGTAATAATAGTAATATGAAGACAAAATAAAAGCAGGAGCACATCTCAAAAATTATCAGTAGGAAGCACACTTTCAAACAGGAGAGGTTGTTTTTATTATTCTGGAAAGGATGAATGGAGAAATTCACACTGGTGAGCTGTTTGCCTGCCTGTGGGACAGACAAGGACCAGAGCAGTGATTTATGTTGCTTTCCCAGAAGGACTAAAGCTTGTGATATTTTACATCCTCTTGCAGTTGTCTCATGTCTGATTGACTGCATGAAGATCCCCCTCTTGAAGCTTTGCTTTAATTGGTGTGGTTGTGAGTGTGAAGGCAGTGACATTAGAGCACTTAGAACTGTGATGAATAGCTAGCATTAGGCTGGATGCAGCAAGGCTGCAAGAGGGAATTAATTCAATGGATAATCAGCTATCACATGCTTGTCTCCTCTGCTGTAGAGACAAAAGTTCCCTGCTTTAGTAGACAAGTATGTCTTGGGAGTTATTTTTGTAGTGAATAGCTGTGGTAGGTTTCTTAGCTGTATCTATAATCCCTTAATTATAACCATTTTAATTCATCTGTAATCTGGCAGTGACCTGTATTCATTGCAAAATCAGTGCCTACTTTAAGCAGCATTGCCATGTTTGTTACCTAGATTGGAATTATTGTTTCTTTCTGTAAGAGCTGATTGTTTTTCCCTCTTGATTTTTTCTTTCTCTTCTCTGTAGTTTACGCTTATTCCAGAAATTTGACACTTTCCGGATTCTAGTTTGTGGTGGGGACGGAAGCGTTGGCTGGGTTCTCTCTGAGATTGATAGCCTCAACCTTCACAAGCAGGTACCTGCCCCAAGAGCTTGGTTGGATGAAGGAATGAAGTAACAACAGCATGGGCTGAAGAGGACTTTCCTTGGTCATGCAGATGTCATTTGCCCCAGGACTGAAGCTGCTGAAAGCTTACTATAGCAGTGCTCTTGCACTAGTTTTGTGCAAGAAATGAATCCATAATGGATTAATTCTTCATGCCTGTCTCCAGTGTTCCTCCACAAGATCCAGCTTTTGGAGTTGCTCTGAGTACTCCTGCTCTATTGCCAGCAGAGACATGCTCTGAAGGGGCTGTGGTTAGGAAACTTGGGAGTTCCACATGGGTTATGCTCTGTTCCCTTTAATTCTTATGGTGTAGTAGCTGAGTCTTAGTGATTGGCAGAAACTTCACTGGGGTAGAGATATCATACAGTGTTTTGCCTGGGAACTGTTTGTGCTAATTTTACAGAAACACAATGGCACCACCTGATGGCTAAATGTAAACCTCTAGGAGGTTTACTATATAGCAAGATGCTCCTTGAGGTGGTAGCTGTAAAATGCTCCTCTCTCAATTCACAACCAAAAGCAGAGGAGATTTTTCCTTAATTGTATGCTCTTCTGGCTGTTTTCCCCATCCAGTTACTTTCTCCCACCCTGGGATTAGCTGTTTCCCAGTGACTGGTGTGTTCAGGAAATCAGTCATGTTACTCATGGCTGTTCCTTACTTGTGTTTCCCCATTTGAATATCACTTTTGTTTTCCTTTTCTCTAATTCAGTGCCAGCTGGGAGTGCTGCCCTTGGGAACAGGGAATGACCTTGCTCGTGTTTTAGGCTGGGGTTCTGCTTGTGATGATGATACCCAGCTCCCACAGATCCTGGAGAAGCTGGAGAGGGCCAGTACCAAAATGCTGGACAGGTGAGTAACCATCACTAACATCATCTGCTCTTCAAGGTGAGGATATCCTTCCAGGAGAACAGGGCAGTCCTGACTCTGTCAAGCTTCTGGACATCTTACTAATGCCAGATAACTTTTTGTCGTTGATACTCTCTCACAAGAGAAGGTGGTCTGGCTTTCTGTGCTCTGCTGCAGAACAGTAACAGGTGAAATTATCTGGGTTCTGGTGTCCTCTCTTCTGTCCTGGAGTCCTCATCATTTGAATTTGTCAGCCTTTGTACTAGTTTGAAAACAAACTTATATCGTAACCTAAGACAGCCTTAAAGTCATGATTTTTTTTTTAAGCAATTTCTTCTTTGTAAATCTAAACCAATTTATCTTGAGCTTGGCTGAGAAATGAAAGCCGAATGCAGAAGTGGATGTTAACCCTTGGTATTGACACCTCCTGTATATATCTTTGTACATGATACATAAGACTGTTTCATGTCTTTAGAGTTATATCTTGGCATCTCTTATGTTGAATCAAGTAATACCAATGGAATTTTTGTGGAGAGGGAAGAAGTAGAGATGTTCCCTGTGCTTGTTCGTAATGTCATCCTTTCTTCTTCCCCAGTTCAGCCCTTCTGTATTTCTGCTGCCACCCTGTGGCTTCTTTATATCAATGATGACTCCACAAAGTGTATTTTGTTCTGCTTTGAGGTTCTAACCTGTTACATTTGGAAAACAGAGGAAATTATCTGCATTGTAGTGACAAGTATGGTTTTCAACAGGTGGAGCATCATGGTGTATGAAACCAAACTCCCTCGCCAGGCCTCCACTTCCACAGTCACTGAAGATTGCAGTGAGAATTCAGAGGTACCTCTCAGGAGGGGCAGGGGACTGGAGCACCAGCCTTGGAGCACACGAGAGGGAGGCAGTGGCTGAGCTCCAGAGCTGAGCCATGGGTGTAGCCAGAACTGCAAAGATCTGGGGCTTTAAGTCAGTGAAGTATCATGGAGAAAGATGGAGGTTGGGTTAGCAGAGTCAACAACCATCATGAGGGATGAGGAGAAGATACTTTGGAATGGAATGGAAAGGAAATTACTGGCTTTTATTTGCTTCATGATGTCAAGTTGTTGAAATAGTGGCAAACTGCGTAGCAGTCGTGAAGACCCCCAGTGCTTTTAGATTTGCAGTTGATCAGAGACTCTGAGAACTGCTGATGATTTGTAGGTTCAGAATTAGTTTCTTCATCAGATTCAGTTCTTCAATGAGTAACAGAGCACTGGCTGTGGAACTTTTTCACGGCAAAAAGAGTCTGTAGAGTTATAGGTACTCTTAGAGGAGCCAGGATTTCACAGCATGTGTTGTAATGCTGGGAAGCAGCACCCCAGTGTTTCTTTCTCATGGTCAACAGGTGCAGAAGATTCTTTGCTATGAAGATTCTGTGGCTGCCCATTTGTCCAAAATTTTGACTTCGGACCAACACTCAGTGGTGATCTCCTCAGCCAAGTGAGTAGTTAGAGGACAACTGCACTAAATTGCACTGTGAAAAATCTGTAACAACCCTTACATGATTTTGTTTTCCTCCTTTGTCTAGAGTACTTTGTGAGACAGTGAAGGATTTTGTGGCTCGAGTAGGGAAAGCCTATGAGAAGGCAACAGAAAGCTCAGAGGAGTCAGAGGTCATGGCCAGGAAGGTAAAATTTGAAAATATGTTTGGGTTTCTACTTCTGAAGTGTAAAACTGGTCTGTTTTCAGAGAACTGGGATAACAGCAGTTCAGTTAGCACTATAAGAAATGAGCTATCCAGGCAACTGTTAGTTCTACTCAAATGTTGTTCTTCTTCATGTAGTGCTCTGTCCTGAAGGAGAAGCTGGACTCATTGCTGAAGACACTGAATGATGAATCTCAAGCATCTTCCTCTCTGCCCAACCCTCCTCCCACCATTGCAGAGGAGACAGAAGATGGGGATGGGTCGGGCAGTGCTGGTGACTCCTCAAGTGAGCTCTCGGTGGGCTCGGCCTGCACTGCACGGCCCCAGATCTTCCGTCCCCGAGAGCAGCTCATGCTGAGAGCCAACAGCTTGAAAAAAGCCATTCGCCAGATAATAGAGCATGCAGAGAAAGGTAACAGTCAGGACTCCTGCTTGTCACTTCCTACAGCCTATTAACAAGTATAAATTTCCTTTATTCTGGGGACAGCAGGCTTCTTTATTGAAAGCAGCTTTCCTGAGCTAGAGAAGCTATTCAGTAACTCTGGCCATTTAGTTTCAGTGTCATCTCTGCCAAGCCCACCTTCTGGAAACATTGCTTGGTAAATGAGTCTGAAGTTCAAGGTATGTTCTCTCCAGCGGGCTGATTTAGGAAGTTCCTACCCTCCCACACTGCTAATTTGCATTTCCTGCCTGTCCCCACCCATACCACAATTGTGTCAATGCAGCTCTTTGTGTGGCCTTGCTGTAAAACAGATCTGAAAATACTTGGGAAGAAGGGATTTTAACTATTTTAACATTATTTTAATCTCTTTATAGCAGAGCCCAGGAAAACATTGCTGTGGTACAACTGCAGGAGAGGGCAGGAACTTCTTAAATGAGCTTTGTCCCTGGGAAAAAACTTACAGTACTGTACTTTGGTGCAAGTCAGTTCTGTTCTGATGTTAACTTCTTAGGCAGGTGACCCTCTTCTTCAAGTCTTGACCCTTGTCTGTCCCCAGGCACACACCCCCAATGCTCCAAGTTTCTTTTCCTTTGAAAGGCATCAGTCTCCAAGTGTTAGTCATAAAGTCGGGGGTTAACTGAGACCAAAGGAAGTCCTTAACAGATTGTTACTGGAGATAAAAGCATTGAAGTTGCAGATGTAACATCCATACACACCCAGGTGTGCACTCTGAACTACTGTGTAGTTACAAATCATTGCAATGTTGCTTGGATTTCCAGCACTGCAGCATTGTGTACAACTACATTTGCTGAGTGAATAGTGAAAGTCCAGCAAACAACCTGCTTCTGGTGCAGTAGGAGGCCTTGACCTCACTGCTCCCTCACTTTACTGCTGCTTACCAGCAATTTGATGTTTGTGAAGTTCTGTTGGAGCCCAGGCAATTTGCTTAATTCAGCCAGAAGTGTTCCTGTTTCTTCTGCACGAGTGAGTTGGATTGCTTCATGGGCAGTTCTGATGAGCTACAGGGTCAGCACAAGGGAGAGACTGGAAGAAGGGGGTGAGCTGTGTAGGCAGTGAGCTGGTAGAGCAGCTGAGGGCATTCAGAGCTGGGCCCTGGCAGGGGCTGTTGGGGAGGAAAAGACCTGTTGATTGCTTGCAGAGGAATTTTTGATTTCTTTAGGCAGCATGCTAGCATTTAAACCTTACAGACTCTCAAGCAAACTCCACTTACATTTCAGATGTATTTGTTCAGCTTTTCCAAACTGTTTTTCTTCTTCCAGAGTGTGCAATCTGATTCTTTCCTCTGATTATATTGGTTTTTACTGACTGCTCTTTTCTTCCTTTTTGATTATATGTGTCTAGTCCCCTTTTCAAGTGCCTTATGTTATTGCACCACTACAGATTAAGCAAACAGGAAATTCTTTAATCATTTCATGTCTGTCGGGTTAGAATTCCTGGCAACATCTAAGTGCAAATAAATGGAAGCCTATCACCTCTAGCACAGTTTGCATCTCAGGATGCCTGAGTACCTGTGGCATTAAAAATAGACACTTCTATTTAGAGCCTCACTGCTAAAGAGCTCAGCAAAGTAAACAAAGAGGCTAAGCCAACCTGGTTCCAAAAGCTCTCCAGAGCAGAGCTGAGACAAATGATAAAGGAGAGCTTTGTGTTATTCCTGTTCTTTCCTTTAAGGAATCAGGACATTAGAGTCCCAACCTGTTACTGTTTACATGAGTGGGAGATACTCCTTGCCAGACGAGCAGTGAGGCACTCACCTGCTTTATCTCTTCATACAGCTGTAGATGAACAGAATGCCCAGACCCAGGAGCAAGAGGGCTTCCTCCTTAGTCTCTCAGCCTCTGAGGAAGGCAAGGAGCTGAGGAATGAGGATAAGATCTCCATGCAGTCATCACACAGCAGCAGCTATGGAGTGTCCAAAGGGAGGAGCCAGAGGAAAGGTACTGCTCTGGGGCTGCCACCGTGCAGGTCTTGCCTGTGTATTGCAATTCTGTTAGTTATAAAAAGGGAAGGAGGTGTTATGTGTATTACCTTTTGTGTTCTACTCAAATTTTTGCATGATTGCTCTTCAGGCCTTGCACATTTCTGTGTTCTAGCCTATGCATTATACACCCCATTTTTTGCTGCATCTCTCATGGCTGGTCCATGATGTTAACATATGAAAGCCTGGGATTCAGAAATTTCCTTGTACCTTAGCCAGTAATCTGGGTTCTCTTGGCTTTCAGTGCTTGGACAAGGACAGTCTTGAGCACTTTCCTTGTCATCCTTTGCAGATAACAGAGAACAGCAGCCAGTTTGCTTTAATAACTGTGTTATGTGAGTAATTTGTTAGAGGTCCCTAATCACTGCTGATACATTTGGAACTTCCCTGAGTATTGATTTGGAGCCAAATAGCCTATCTGTTGTGCTGCTGGCACCAGCTTTTTCTCATCTCCATTTCTAATATTTTTCTTTTGGCATTTTGATACTTCCAGTCTGTGGGTTTTCCAGCAGCACATATGTGATATCTCTGTCTCTTAATGACTGGTTCTGTCAATTCTTTGTTTTCTGGGGGCTCAGGTGTTTTGCTGTTGAGTGTTACCTAACCCAGTCTTGCTGCTTGGCCTGTGTTGATCTGAATCACAGCACTATGTTTGTCAATAGCCAAGTTTGTGTTGTGTTTTACAGCCTCTAAGTCTCCTTGTGAAAGACTAATAAACAAAGGAAGTTTGTCACTGGGCAGCTCTGCATCTCTTCCTCCCCAGACAGGAAGCCGGGACAACTTGCCAATGCTGAACACAAAAATCCTCTACCCAAGTAAGTGTAACACCCACTGCTTTCCACCGAGGCAGCCAACTGGAGCATGGGTGAGTGCAGCACAGGCTGCAGTCCCCATGAGAAAACATGAAATTGTCCTGCCAGATACCCTTTTGTGCAAGGTCAACCATGAGAGAAATCTCTTTGTGGATGACTGCAAGTGGAGGCTTGGAATGAGCTGTAGTAGTTTCCAGTTTCTAGCTAAGACTTTAGACATAGATTTTTATTAATGTCATGAAGGGACAGAATTTAGATGCCAATTGCAAGGGGATATTTATTTCAAAGTAACCATGAGAAGGGGGAAATGATGCTGTTGAGAAAGGTTTCTGAAGAATGGCAGCCATAGGTTGGGAGCAGCAGTTCCTTTATATGAAGGCTGAAATGACTGGAAGTGCACCGACCCAGCAGAATTCCCACCTCCCACATCATGTAGCAGCTTCTCCCCATCACTGTAGCAGTATCTTTCTATCTCCTCACCCAAATTACTTGTTCAAATTACTCCTTCTGGAAGCAGGTAGTTTCCTTTCTCTCTGACAAACCTACTGTTTGTGGGTCACTAGTTAATAATTTAAAAAGCAGGAGACAGTAATTCTTGAACAACTTGGATCATAGCTTCAGTCCTGCTCCTTTCTCTCTGTTCACTGTATCAGGGATATCGCTTGTCTCACCCTGGAACAAAAAAGCTGCTGCAGAGAGAACTCCTATTTCTCTTTTCCATGTTTCTATACAGCTGTGCTGCTAGCCTTAGGCAGTATACTGTCAGTCAGAAACCCTCCAGGCAGCCCCAGAAATCCTTCTCCTTGGCAAAAGAACTCACCTCTGGAGTGACAGAAAGCAGTAATGCTATTTGCTTTCTTCACAAATGACAGGAAAGAATGTATCAACTCGTGTTATCTTGTCTTTGAGATTGAAGTTACCTGTTTTCTGCTTATTATTAGTCATGCTCTTCTCCATGGTCAATTTTCCTACAGATATCCGTGCTGGCATGTCAGGTTCTTTGCCTGGGAGCTCAGTCATCAGCCGATTGTTGATCCATGCTGATCCCTTTAACTCTGAGCCTGAAAATCTGTGAGTATGCTCAGGAGCTGGAAGGGAGGGGAGTGGGTGTTTGCAAACGGACCTCAGCAGAGAGGGGGATTCCTTTATGGACCAAAGTAATGGACTGCAACAGCCTGGAGTTTCATAAATGGATCCATATGCTGGATTCTAGAGCTTAGGGATCAGCTTATGGAGTTACACATGTCCTGACACACATCTGACACAACTGAGCTTGGTGGTCATTTCCAATCTAAATGATTCTGTGTGAGATATGCACCAAATGGTACCGAGACTTATGAGTGGAAGTTTTGTTCTTCTCTTTGGCAGTGAATGTTACACTGAGAAGTGTGTCATGAATAATTACTTTGGAATTGGACTGGATGCAAAGATTTCTTTGGACTTCAACAACAAACGTGATGAGCACCCAGAGAAATGCAGGTGGGTTTGGATCAAACCTTTGGATTGATGCCCGAAGTGACTGAACCACTTCATGCTTCTGTGTGGTGAAGCTGATTGTGTACACTGTGCTGAATAGGTGTGTTGTCTATATAATGCTCCTTCAAGGCTTGAAATCATGATGGAAGAGATAAGTTACTGATTTATTACTGATTCATTATGTTATAAGGTATTTAAGTTGCTACATTGGTGCAGATTTAGCATGTTGGTTCTATTTATGTCATCTCACAGATTTTTCTCCTGGGCTTGCTATTTAGCTGTGAGAGAAGCACATCTCAATTCTAAATGCAGCAGAGGCTGGTTTTGGCATTGATCCTGACCCAATCAAAACCACAGTTTTGGCCTTTTGAATACCTAAGCAACTACAGGATGCTTTGTGTAGCTTGGGATTGGCTATATTTGCTGTATATGAGCTAATACAGCTGAGCACTGTTGATGTCCTGGTGTATGAGATGGGCAAGTTCTGTGCCAGGGCAGTCTCTGTATGTTTCTGGTAGTGTCTATTACTCATGCTTGATTCCTACCTGATGTTTATTTAAAGGGAAGTAGTTTCCTAGCACAGTGACCACTTGGAGCAATTGACCCTTTTGGAAGCAAGCACCTTTGTTGTTTAGGATGTAGCAGGTACCATTTCAGTGTGAAGGTTTTATTCCTTCTTAGTGAAAGGGTAAATGTCTGTGCTGACTTTTTCCTATTTTGTTTGCCCCCTTAGAAGTCGTACTAAGAACATGATGTGGTATGGAGTATTGGGGACCAAGGAGCTGCTGCACAGAACATATAAAAACCTGGAGCAGAAGGTCTTGCTGGAGGTGAGGAATTAGCATGCTCTTCTGTTCCTAAGATGGGGATGCATAATTCCATCTCCTTCAGGCACTGTGATTTTTGGCATGGTGATTTGGCTTGGTGATATTTGCCTGCCTGAAACAACGTACTTGGCTATGTGTGACCCTGAGGTAACTAAAAGTGGCTTTTCCTGATTTTGGAGCATAACTTGTATTCTAAGCCCATAAGGGAAGAAGTATCATGCTGCTGGAAAGTATTTGCTGTTCCCAATGCATTGTTCAGCATGGTTAAGATTGTTATGTTCCATGTGGTATCTCACATGAACACATAATTTTAGATGGTGGGTACAGTGGAAAGCTCTGAATTTAACTGTGCTATAATGTGTATCCAACTGGAAAAGAAATACTTTTGTATAGGTCATGCACAGCATAAACAGGTAACTTGCAGGAGAAGACCCTCATCACATGGATGTTTCAGGAGTTTTATTCCACTTGCTTGAGAAATAAATCAAGAGGCTTTGCCAAGCCTCTCAGGTGTGCCCTGTTAGAGGAAAAGAAGCAAAGTATCTCTCTAAAATCCATGTCTGCCAGAAGATGTGTGGCTCATGAGGCTTGAGTGGATACCTTCTACTCTTGTAGGCCAAGAACGAACAGGAAGAAGCCTGAATTAATGTATTACTAAGATGGTGCTGGCTGTTTTCTGTTCACAGAGCATATGCTCTGGCAGGAGGGTCTCTCTCCTGCTGGGCTGAGATAGTGTTGCCTTCATTTCTGTGCAGTGCGATGGGAGGCCAATCCCTCTGCCCAGTCTCCAGGGGATTGCTGTACTCAACATTCCCAGCTATGCAGGAGGCACCAACTTTTGGGGGGGAACCAAGGAGGATGATGTGAGTATTCTCTAAGACCATACAGGAAATGTTTCTACTTACTGTTACTTTTGAGGTCACAGCCTCTGAAAATATGCTTGGAAGAATAGGGCAGGGGTGGCCTGTCTGCATGCACTTTCTGTTGGATGTTGCTGAGATACTGAATTCCAGCCTTGAGCAGCTTTCATACCCAGGCAGTCTCTAAGGATTCAGAAGAAATACCACCAGAGCATTTGGATCTGCAGAAAGTTCTTTAGGCTGACCTTGTCCCCACAGAGAAGTAAAGCCCCTTGACAGCAAAGGCAGCTAGATTCACTCAGAAACATTGTATTCTTTAGAAATTTTTTTGGGTGCCTACCCTCAAAAGAATAATTATTGCCTTGTGGCCTACAGCCTTCATGTCTGAATTATACTTTAGCCATTGGAAGCCTCCTTTTTCTCACTTCTGACTCGTTCCAGATCTTCACCTTCTAGCCTTGTTGTTAATTTTGTACAGATTAAAGAGCACAATTAAAAGCCACCCCCAGGTTGGGACCAATAGGGGGTAAAGGAAACCACTCCAAGAGAGCTGTGCCTCAGCTGAATTCTCTCTCCCTTGTATGTGGCAGACATTTACAGCCCCTTCCTTCGATGACAAGATTTTGGAGGTGGTAGCTGTGTTTGGGAGCATGCAGATGGCAGTGTCACGTGTGATAAACCTCCAGCATCACCGGATTGCACAGGTATCAGCTGCTTTTGTGAGCCCTTCCTGCCTGACCCCTCTCCAGCTGATGACTTTGTAAAGCCCTTCTTTCTGTGTGCTCTGGCCCATGGAAAGAGCATCCACAGGGCTGGAAATGGACATGCTCAGGGGCAGTTTGAGTATGGAATTGTTTGCTAGCATTCATTTTAGTAGGAGTTAGACTAACGACTCAAATACAGATTAGTCCAAAGACAAAGCAGGTGTTCCCTGCTGCTCAGGGGTGAGGTGTGTCCTGCTCCCTAGACATGTGTGCCTCAAGTAGCTAAAAAGCTACAGCACCTGGGGAGGGGCTTTGGAAGGACAGAGAATGGCTTATGCTTTTGGAAAATCAGCATTTTAGAGCTTTTCTGACCCAGTCACATCTTGCAGTGCCGGACAGTAAAGATAGCAATCCTTGGAGAAGAGGGAGTTCCCGTGCAAGTGGATGGAGAAGCCTGGATCCAGCCTCCAGGTTACATTTGGATTGTTCATAAGAACAGGGCACAGACCCTCACCCGAGACAGGGTAAGAGCATCCTGAATTGTCTGTGCAGTACACGTGTGTTTTGATGTCCCATCTTTCTGGAGAGCATGGAAAAGGCCACATGTGAACATTATCTTTGTGAATGCAAGAAGCATATTTTATTACACATTTGGGAAAGAATGTGATTAAACTTGCATTCACCACTTGGGAAATGTCATAAATAAGGTTGTTTATACAAGCTTATTTTACTTCCTTTTCTAGGTGCCTTGTGACAGTGTTTCTTAACATGCTTGCATGCTGTTTTTTCCACAGGATACCTGCTGTGCCAAATGCTGTGGATTGTCTAGATTCAGACGGTCAATGTTTTAATTTGTCATTATTGTTCAGTATCTGGCTTCATTGACCATGTTAAACAGTGTCTTATGCCTTGTTCAGAAGTGTATGTCAGTCTCATCTCATCATTTTCAAATATATCTGATGAGTACCAGCAGATAAGGAAGCCTCCTTGCTCTTTTGCTGTATGATTGAGCAGTGGTCAGACAGAGGAAAGGATAAAGACCCTGCTGTGGCCCAGACACACTTTGAGTCCTCCCAGCTCTGTGACTGTCCATGCATAAACAGTTCAGTTGAGAGCAGCTCTTCATACTTTCCAGCACAACACTCCTTTAGCCACTTACAGAGCAAATCAAAGTCCTCCTCAAAGGGACTCACCTGCTGAATCACAAGAAGAAGGAGCACAACAAAGGGAAAAAGGGAAAGCAGCCTGATTACAGGTCTGAGGCATGTTGCCTAGCAAGGGAGTTACAAAGATATAGTATGAAAACAAAGGTGGGCATACAATGCCCCTGTCATGGTAGGACAGGGCACCAGAGATCTCTTAACTGGGAGAGCAGTGGGTATTGATCATAGAACCACAGATTGGTTTGGGTTGGAAGGGACTTTAAAGGTTATCTAGTCCAAGCCCCCCTGCCTTGGGGAGAGACACCTTGCACTACACCAGGTTGCTTAAAGCCCTATCCAGCCTGTGGTCTAAATATTGCCAGAGATGGGGCATCCACCACTTGTCTGGGCAACTTGTGCCAGTGTTTCATCCCCTCAGTGTATAAATTCCTTCCTTGTATCTAGCTGAATCTGTCCTCTTTTGAGTTCAAAGAGTGTCCTGTCAGCTCTAATGTGAATGTTGTGGAGAGGAGACAGGAATAGTGCACACAAGCTTTTGTGAAGGGCAAGAGAGCTTCTGCAGCATCACACTGACACTTGGAGGGAGAGTGACTGAAGGAGATAGCACAGAGAGCAAGAGAGAACAGGATTGCTGCTATAAAGGTAAAGGGAAGGAAAAAAGGAGAGGCAGCCTATGTGTGGGCATGGTGGGAAAGGTGACATGAAGCACAAGAGATAGAGAGGAAGGGTAGTCCCTTGTGAGTGTGCTATGTGTTGGGCCATCAGAAACCACAGCTGTGATTGTGCCAGCCCATTCCTAATTGCCTACCGACTTGGTTTTGCAGTCATGGAATTGCCACTGAGGAAGAGGTTCCAGTTTTGCAGTTGCACACTCAACTTTGTCTCAACTTACCCTTGTTTTTCCTGCTGTCCTTTTAAAGGTCACTGCATACCCCTTCTTTCACAGAGCAAACCTGTCCTATCCAGTTGAAGTGGATTTCATGCATGTGACACTGTACCTTTAGTAACATTTTTCAAATGTGATTTGGGATATATAGTTTCCTAAACTGAAGATGGAAACACTCAAATTGCCTTATTTGTTTGGCCTCATCTGGACCACTAAAGAGTCCATCAGCAAGAGGGAGATCAGCAGGTAGCTGACAGAGCCTGACAGAGCCTGGTTTTCCAGTATCAGAGGCAGTAGGGGAAGGGAGTGCTTTACCACAGGGCTCCATAGTTTTCATTCTCATCACATTCAGTATGAATCCTTCTACATTGGATCTGTTTTGCTTTTTCCCACACCACTGCCTGCTGCCCACAGGAATATCAGTAAGGTTTCAGATGTGTCAGGTCCTAGCTCTGAGTTCAGATGCTTGGCCCACCAGTTCCTAGGGAAGCCCAGTTTACTCTCAGTAAGGAAGAGCCTTGAACATTTTTAATTTCATGCTCTGAAGTGTCACAGTAATACTGAGGTGTGTAAAGGTGATACATCTGCTCAAAGAAAAGGCTGCCACCAGTAGAGAATTGTTGGGTTTTTTTTAGACTGGCCCTCAGAACTGTGTAGTAATTTTGACTAAAACTATGATGCTTAAGCAGAAATCCAGCCAAGGCAAGCATATGGCATGGAAAACTTCATCCCAGCCAGCTACTTAGCAAAGCTATAAGCAACTTAACTGCTGGGCTCTGCAGTGAAAAGTGCCTGTACCAGATCTACATATTTTACAGGCATAGGCACAGTCACTGGGTTTTTATAGAAGTTTTATAAGGTACCTTATAGTTTGCTTCCTGTGTTTTTAGGCATTTGAGAGCACCCTGAAATCTTGGGAAGACAAACAGAAGTGTGAGTTGTCACGACCCTCCTCTTTCTCTCTGCAACCAGAGATCATGTCTGAAGAAGAATCCACCCAGATCATCCAGTTTGGTCAAGCTGCAGGTGCTCTGATCCACAGGTGTGTCTCAGCTTGCTGTTGGTGAATAGAGCCTCCTTTAGGACTTGGAGTTCTTATCCTGCTTCCTGTTCTGGAGATGTTTCTGTTCAGCTACATTGCTGGCCCATGTCACTGAGTGTAGCATCATTCATTGTTCAGAGTCCCAGCTAAACAAGGACTAAAGCTAGATAAGCTTTCTTAGGCCATTTTGAACAAAATATGTACTTTCATGAGCAAACATGGATCCTTTAATCCTGAAAGAACCTGTTGCCTTTGAATATAAAGTAGTTTTTTCAGAATAGAAACAAAAGCCTCTCAAGGAGCTCAGGTGACAGCTGGGTTGTAACCCTGATGCCTCGCAGAAATTTTTGTACAATGCCCAAAATGTATGCTTACCTGCTCATCCTTTAGTCAGACCTTCCATTGGGCTTCTGAGAGAAAACTCCCAGTCATTAGAGAAGGTTGCTGTAAGTGCAGCTAGCTGCCTTTCACATCACTCTGGTCAGACTGAAATGTCTGGATTGTATTTCAAACTGATCTCAGTTTGTGTGCAAAATGTTGTGCCTGTGAGAGAGCTGCATTTCCTTGCCTGTGCATGCTCAGTGTGGCAGGAGAACTGCCCTGCTTTGCTGGAGGCTGTGCCCCTGCTGTGATCCCAGCTCGGCTCATCACTTGGATGGGTGTTTAAATGGGATACCCAGTCAGGAGAGATCTCCTGATTTGAACATATACAGTCTGATATGCTGATGCTATCTGCAATTCTCTCTTTAGCATTCGGGAAATAGCTCAATCCTATCAGGACATGGAACAGGAGCTTGCCCATGCTGTCAATGCCAGCTCCAAGTCTATGGACAAAGTCTACGCTAAATCCAAGTCTACAGAGGTACTGCACTCACTTGGCATCTCCCATTTTGTCCTTGCTCCAGAGCTCTTTTTTTTCCATTCTAGCTGACCAAAAGTAGGCCTTGCTAGTCTAAGACTTCTTCGTTTTGACTGCTCAGACCTGTGCACTTCCAAGCTTAACTTGTACATGAATTGCTTCCCTGCAGGGTCTGAACTGCAGCCTTGTTGTAGAGATGGTGAATAATGTCAAAGCCCTGCACAATGAGACAGAGCTGCTGCTGGCAGGCAAGATGGCACTGGTAAGGAGCACAAAGCAGGAGGAAAAAGCAGCCTCTCACTTCCTCTCCTCGCCTCCTATTGCCTTGCCCTAGCATTTTGCTGGTCTTGGACTCTGTAAGTCAATTTAGATGTTATCATCCAGGAATCATTTGCTACAGAAAATTTTGCTACATGAGTGTGCTGTGGAGCTTGGAGCTCAAAAAAGATAAGAATTGTTAACTTGGTGTGGGCAGAGTATCTGCTCTGCACTTCCTTTCAAAGGAACTGCTTTGTTAGCTAGGAATTTCAAGGCAAGGGTCTGGTTGTGTGTTTTACCATGAGGCTTTTAACTCTGCCTTTCTTCTATTCCTGATCCAGCAATTAGATCCTCCACAGAAGGAGCAGCTCCAGGCAGCCCTGGCAGACATGGACCTCCAGCTGAGGAAACTGGCAGACATCCCTTGGCTGTGGCAGCTCATGGAGCCCTGTGATGAGGAGGTGAGGAGAACAAGGCTATTTTTCCCTAGCTGTTCTCTTTTTCCCTAGTTGGCTCTGTGTGTTTGACTTCCTGTTACTATATGACTGATATGAGAAAAAATTATTAAGAAAGAAACTTGACTCCCTAGGGCCAAAGAAAGTAATCTCCTGCCAAGATCCTTTGCGTAACATGGGATCAACTTTCTCTGCTTCCTTTTCTGTCTTGATCAGAATGAGTTTTGGATTTTTTTTTCCTTTCTTTACAAGATCATGGAGCTGAGCTTGTTGCTCTTAGTCCATTCGAATCAGTTTATGTGTGCTTGATTTTGCCCTTCTGTTCTTGCAGAACCAGATGCTGGATTATTCTAAACGCAGCCGCAGTGGCAAATTCCGCCTGGTGACCAAGTTTAAAAAGGAGAAGAACAACAAAAATAAGGAGACTCACAGTAGCATGGGATTGCCGGGTACCAAGTCTGCTCATTCATTGTGTCTTTTTGTCACATCAGTGTGGTCACACCACTACCTGTTCTCAGTCTGTTTCCTCACACATCCTCTCCTTCTGTTTCACCTGCATCTGCCTCTTCTTGCAGGTCTAGTCAATCTTTTTCATGTGGCAAACAGCTTATTGGTCCCTTCTGAGTCATGGTCCCCCTGTACCATGCCAACATTCCTGAGCAGGAACAGGAAGTGCCCTCTGAAGAACTCTCCCCAACACTGTGCAGATTTTCATGGATATTTCAGAGGTTGCTTAGGGAAGTGAATTTGAGGATTTCGGCATTTTAAGTATAAAAATGACTGCGGAGCCCAAGTCCCCGTAACTCCAGTCTTTTCACTGCTTGTTCTCTATGATACAGTAAATGATATTTTTCTCATTGATTCGCCTTCAGGCTTTAATCAAGTTTCATGTCTAATTGGCTGGGGATCAGCATCATCACAGGTGTTTCCTGATCTTTAATCCTATTGGTCAGTAGATAAAAACTGGCCACAAATCAACAAATTGCCATCTAAGACACTTTCTCTCTAAATTGGTCTAGTTGATTTTTGGTTTATGCTCTCCTTATGAAGGCTTTCTTCCAAAATTCAGAAGTATGACCTGTTCTGTTGGCTCTTGGGTTCTGTCCTCTGCCATGGAGTTGGGGGTACAGTCTCCTGTCTGACAGGCTAGTGTTCATTCACTGCCTCCCAAAACTTGGAAATTTTATTATTCTCTTATTTAGAGACTGCAAGAAGGTGGAAGTCGAAACTCTTCCTTTCTCCCTCAGACAAGGGGGAGAGAGGTTGCCATTTTGTTTACTGGGTGCAAGTGATTGTACATAATAATGTGCAAATATGTGCTGTGATTCTCCATAATATATTTTATGAATCTGTTGTTTTGTACACGGAATTTGCACAATTAATTTACTCTTCTTAAACATGGGGGTAAACTTGAAAAAAGTAATCCCTATCAAAAGATATGCCATCTCATCAAAAAAAATATGCACTTCCTCCTGGCTGTACTGCAGCAGGCCTCTCTTAAGAGAACTCTCTTACCTTTTTTTGCCCTGCCTCCTTCATTTGAGATTGAAGGTTGTGCTGCCCTCCCCTTAGCTATAGGCTGTGGTCCTGCTTGCCCTCCTCCTCTGGCACTGAGTGCTGTGGTGTCCTCATCTCTCCCTGTCTCCTGGGATTCTGGGTACTCAATGCACTCCTGCTTTTCCATCTCTAACAGTTCACCTCTGGGGGACGGAGGAGGTTGCGGCGTGGCTTGAGCACCTCAGTCTTTGTGAGTATAAGGATATCTTCATCCGCCATGACGTCCGGGGCTCTGAGCTCCTGCACCTTGAACGGAGGGACCTCAAGGTACTTTCACGGTCGGCTCATGAGAAATAGCCAGCTGCATCTGCATGACCTCCTGTGCTGAATGTGCTTGGAAGTGGTCTGCCTGCTGTTCATTCCAGGTGCCTTGGCAAGATGAACAGGTTCACTACAGCCTCGTTTTATTTTCTCACCGTTTTGAGTCACCTGGTTTTTAATGGCAGGGAGGTAGAAGAGCTGGTTGAGGGACCAGCTGTCCAGTTCTGCCACAGCTTCCTGGAGATGTGGTACAGTCCAGCACACAGATTGCCAATAGTGTTCTTGAGAGTCTCTGATTTTAATGAGGGAAGTTTGTCTCAGCTACTGAACCATCTTTGCAGAAGGTGCTGTAATTGAGAAGATTTGGTTCTTACCATGCAGTGACTGGACAAATGGATCATCATACTTCTTTGTAACAAGAAAAAGTGATTGTCCACTTTGATGAGGCTTATGGATGGAGGGAATATTTTTTGAGAGGGCTTAGTAGCCACATTGCACAACTTTTCATCGCCTCACCAGGAGACATTGTTTCTACTGAGAGAAATTGAATGTGGTGGTTTGCGTGTGCAAGAGACTTGTGTCATCATTCTGGTGACTTGCATAGAGCAGGAAAACAGGTTTTTTTGAACTAGTGTGTGGCATTTGTTTGATGCCCCTTGAACCTTTATTTATCATTTTTACCATCTTTCCATGGTGAGGTTTGCTGTAACCTGTGTAACTGACCCCTCTGCATGTCATCCACCTACAGCCTGTGTTTGTTGCATGGTACCCAGCTATCAGATGTGACTGGTTAGTTCCTCCTGCATGTTTTGGCTTCTAGATTTGGTCCTTGACATCTATGTTCTCTTCCTGTTCTCACAGCCTTTGACAACCCAAACAATTTGTGTTCTGGCTAACAGTCCACAGTTGTGTCTCTGCATTGCTCTGTGCCCACTCTGCATTCCTTAATAGCTTTTTGACATGTTGGTTTGAGGCTCTGTATATAACCCTCAGGTTTGGAATTTTTCTGGTTGGTTTCCTCCTCTCTTTGTAACTGGCTGGCTAGTTTGTAACTGTTGCTTGGCCACCTGGAGTTTCCTTCTACACTTTCTTTTAGTGTAAGGTTTTCTTTTTTCTTCCAGGACCTGGGAGTGACAAAAGTGGGTCACATGAAGAGGATACTGCACGGGATCAAGGAGCTGAGCCGGAGTACTCCTGTCAGCGAGGCTTAGCCTCTGTTTTCACAGCCTGTGTCTACCATTCTCCCTAACTGCACAGCAGTCACCTCACCAAGCAGATGTGCTCACAACTATCTCTGCTGAACAGCCAAAGTTTAGCTGTTCAGAGCTCATATCAACCAAGCATGGTGCTACTTTTTTCCTGTGGGGTATGGCTGCATCCTTTGGAGAGGCACTTCCTCTGTGGTTGGCAGAGCCTCCTGGAGAGAACTCACTCGCTGTTTGAAGAGCCATGTCCTGTGTCATGGGAAGTTCTGGTTCCAGGGACAGTGCAGGACTCCTGAGAACTGCAACACAGATACCTTTACTGGATAACTTCATCACAGTAGAATCATTCAGGGCAAAAGATGTATCGGCCAGTCTTAATTCAGGAGCATCTGACAGTCTCTTCAGACCCAAAACTTTCCTGCTCATCTGTGCGTCACACCTGTATTTAGCATATTTAAGTGGGACAAAGCCTCTCCTTTCATCTTACTATTCCCTTTTTAATGCATCTGTAGTTGTGTGTAATTTGCATCTGAAATTCGAAACCAGTGCAGACCTCTTCCAGTGAATATCAAGTGATTCTCATTCACTCATGCTTTTGCAACAAACAGTGCATGTGCTTCAGACAGGATTTGCACCAGCTGGCAGGGCCTTCTGCTGGGCCTGCTCTCTTCTACCAGCCAGGGGCAATGGTACAACCTTTAGGTTTTCACAAAAAATGTGCTGCTGAGTCATCATGGACAATTGTTCAGAAATTCCTGGCAGTAAGAAAAGAAAATTCTGGAGAGCAGAATAGTTGCAGGAGATCAGCTCTGACATTCCTTCTTCTGAATTCATCTTTGGGAGACCAGGTAAAAGGGAGAGTAGAGCTAATGAGCTGTTTGTGCTGCACAAGAAGGGAGGTATAGGACAACTTGCTTCATCCTGGGGGAGGGAGTAGCATGACTGGCAGTGGCCAGGTGTAGCTTCCTGCCTGTTCAGTACCACTTCTGTGGCCACAGACATGAGAGCTGTTTCTTTACTTCAGCTTGCAGTGAAGAAAACTATTTCTGTCACAAAATACGAGATTTAAGTCTAGTACTTGTCTAGGTCTCAGTAGCTTTTCCACCTTGCTTCTGTTTCTTGCTGCCTTGCTTCTTCACTCCAGGGTGATACAAAAGATTAGAGTAGCTCAATTCTCCTGGGCTGTACCCCTAAAAGATTCCTTATGCTGTCAAACATTGGGGCTTCTGTAAGAGCACTGAGAGGAGGAGGATTGTTACCAAGCAAATGAGCCTTATAATGAAAACTGGAATATGTTGATAAATTGCCTTTGGTACCAGCAACAGTGGAGCATGGAAAAATTAGTGCCTCTGAATCAGAGTTTCTAGATTGCTGACCTCAGTTGGTTGGCTGTTAAAGCCCAAGACCAGCATGCATAGTTATATCACCATCTTTGTCACTGCAAAGGGAATTTGGCAACAGTCAGTGCTGTAAAACTTGAGAGACAGCAGAAATATTTAATTACTCTGTCATTTTCTGTATATTTATTTAATATTTTTTTATTATTACAGAGTGGCATCTCTCTGACTATGGCTGCAGACAGAAAAGCCCACATGCACAGTGGCATAAAAGATAATTTGCTGAGGACATCATTCTTTTTTTTACTTTTTTAAGTAAAGGATTTTAAAGTAAGGATTTTTATCAAATTGATATCACTTCTCTAGTCTAATAACAATCAGTCAAGTTAGTTTATGTAAAGATTTGTCAGCTTATAAAGGCTCTGGGCTGATTTCCTTTCAGCTGGGCAAACTCCATTGAATTCCCTAGTATTTCACCAAGGGTTATTCTGACTCTGTCTTTTCTAACCAGACACATTTACCCATGTGTCTTCTCACAGCCTGGCGAGTGACAGGGCTTGTGTTAAAACTCATGAGAAGGTAAAAGAAGACTAAACATGCTTGATCCAGCTAGAAACACTTACAGTAAAAATACAGTGGGGCCTGAGCAGGAAATATGTCCAGCCTTTCCCTGAATGTATTTCTCCCATTTATATGTTGGCAATTGCTTCCATAGCTGTATTTGTTATTTATCAGTACAGACTCCCTCTAACTATATTGAATTCCTGAGGTATCAGGTAAGTAAGAATTGCAAGCATACTGTATTGTCCCACTTGCTTGTTGAGGCACAGAGCAGCATCTGGATGAAAATGAGAAGTCTCAGGAGAGCCCCAGGATGCAGCCATCACCAGTGGTGGTGTGCAGTGACCTCATAGTGTGTGCATCCCACTGTCTATCCCAGAACTGCATGTTTCTGGGACATCCATGTGCCTTCCAGGAGAGTGCAGCAGGGCGTGAGGCAGGAGATAACTCCAGATAAGAGGTGAGATCTGTGTTTGTTCCTATATGCAGTGAAGGAGTGGAGGAGCTGTTCTGTCAACTTTCCCCAGCAGCCTCATGGTTAAAGATGCATAAACAATAAGCTCTTGCCTTGCATAGTCCTTGAGGAATTAAATTCTTGCTTCCATAGAAAGAGCTCCTCTCTACTCTTCCTGCCTAGAGCAACAGAAGAATCCAAAGAATTTCTACATTCAGGTGTGTTCCTTAATTCATGCCATATCTATCAAGACCTGATGGCCATTAGCCATTTACATGAGTGATGAGGCTTGCACAGATGCATCTTCATTTCTTTTGCTTTTTTGATCTGTGTGTCAATGCCTTGAGATCCTTTTTGTGCACATGCACATCTGTCAATGGGTTAACAGCCACTATATTCCTGTCTTACTTATCAGAGGCAGGAAGGGAGTTCTTCCTTCTTCTAAGATCTAGAAAACAGGATCCACGTTTAACCTGAGTGCCTTTGGATATTTATTAAGGTTTAGATCTAAGAAACCCCAAAGGGTTGTAGTTCTGTATGTCTCACTGGGAACAGTGCAGATTTCTGTTGGCAAGATTTTTGTGAATAGATGAAGACAATTTGTGTTGAACATCAGTGAGCTCTATCTGCAAAGTAGGGAGCCAGGTGGAACTCCTGGCTACTGCCTATTCTGAGTTTCTCTTCTGACATCTGATAATTTTTTGTGGGAGAAAAACTCAGGAACGACAGTTAGTAAAAAATATGCTGCTTTGCCAAAAAGAGACTGCCCAGCAGTCTCAGGAGCACCAGCCTGAGAGAAGGTAGAACTGCACCTATCTCACAGGTGTTTAGTCCCTGAAGAAACACAGCTCCTGTGAAAGCCATACAGCACCTTCTGTTCACATCCCTCACCCTGGCAGTGGCTGCAGTGAGCTGGGCACGGGGTTTCTTCTGCTTGGAAGAGGCTTCAGTCCCTTTTCTCACATCACCATCCTGGCACCATCCTGGATATTTAATGGCAGATTCTGGGGAATGATGGTTTGGGCTAAGTGAGAGATTGTGTGCAGTGGAGACTGGAGGGAGGTTTGGCTGTTGGCAGTGCCCTGCCCTGGGCTGCCCTCGGGAGGGCTGGTACAGCCTCTCTTCTGTACCTTGCAGGATGTCAGCAGGAGCCAGCACAGTGGCCAAGGGGAGCTGTGCTGCCGGGTGCCTGGAGGTGCTGGCCTGGCACCTGGGAGCCTCCAGCTCTGTTGAGGCCTTCTGTGTCAGTGCTAAATCTGCTTCTGCCCCCAAATCATATGGAAAGCTTCAATCATTGTTTTAGTGTTATTTAAAAACGTGCGTAATAGCGATGTGATTTATAAAACAGACTGTTTACAAGACATATTTTGTATCTTAAGATGTGTGTACTGTAAAAAAAAAGGAAAGTATGAAAAATGATGTTTTTCTACAACTGTCAGCAGTGACTGCATGTCTGTATCATTGTCCACCGACCGTTGTTCCTCAGGGGTGTCCCCACCATTCCTGCGATCCTGTCAAAGGCATCGGGAAGCAAGTGAATCCCTGTACAGTCTTGGGAAGAAGGTTTTGTGCCTTAAGAATGGGACCTGCTTCCCTCCTATTTATTTTGTTAATTTATACAGTGATTACCATGGAAATGTCTCTTGGAGGTTTTTTTGTACATAGTTTACTTGTTGTAAATATTTTTTTCTTGTATATAAAGTAAACAAGTTTCCGAGCTTCCAGTAAGGATTCTCTGTTGCTGATTTTATTGTGAGAGGGCTGCTGTGCCCATCAGGTGGGAACCAGCTAATAAAAACCTGTGCTGTGATTAAATGGTTTTATCCTGGCTTGCATCAGAAGTTCAGAGCTGTTCCTTAGAGAGGAGTGAAATGGTAAATGTAAATGTTGTAGGCTAATTTTGTAGCATTTTTTGTGTTGGTTTAATTGGCATGGAGTTGAAGACATCAGTTTAATTTTTTTAGCTATGTCTTGTAGTGAACAAATGATGTTTTAAATGTGGTGCTTCTACTGGTGCTCATCTGATCAAAGCTCTGCTGGCAGCAAACCCACAGCTCAATGGGAACACTGTCAGACTCAGCAGGGCTGTGTTGGTTACCCCTCCTCAGGTGCTGTTCCTGGCCATGGTGCTGCAGTGCCAGGATGAGGTGGGAGCAGTTGTTCTCTCCTCCACCTGGGCCTCTGTGTATTCCATTTATTGCAATATGTACAGTGACTGGAATAGGTGAAAATGCATTTACAGTGACTGGAATAACTGAAAAATGTGGGAGAAGTGTGTTTTCTCATCAAATGTAGGAACTGAGTATTATAAATGACACCTGTAAACTTGAAACAAAAAATTTGGCGTGTTTGGGTGAGCAGTTCATAGAGTGGATTGTGACAAGCTTTCTCTTCTGTCTGTACAGATTGGTGGGTTCATAAGATGCTGATAGGAAACTTCCAGCAGATTTACTTTAATTGACAGGATGGTTGTAGAGTTCCACAGTACTGTCACAAAGTGGGTGGAAAGTAAGTTACAATGGTCATGAATATTTTCTATGTGAAAAACATCTTTGTACGTGATAATTAAACAGAAGTATGGAGGGAATAGTGTATTGAGCAGGAATATCATTCTGATGTTACGGACTCTTGTATGATGAAAATGGTAACATTTTCATTTTACCATTTTTCATTGGTTACCTGGAGCCAGAATAAGGAGAAAATAAGAACTACTGTGTTTATTCACACATGCATCATTCCCTGAGTGTCAGGCTCTGCTTTAAGTGGCACTACAGAAAAAATGCAAAGAAGGCAACAGTAGAGACAGAAGATACTCTTACTCCTCTGATACAGGTTAATTAATTTTGGTCTTTTTTTTAATAATGGGGCAGAAGCTAATAGCAAAAAACTTACTGCCCCACTCAGTGTGTCCGAGGACTCCTGGGTGCACAGGTGGTTTGCATGAAGATGCCATATCTTCAACATCATCTTCAGCATCTTCAACGCTGCAAAGGGTCATTACTCATTGGAAGGGGCTGCCCAGGGAGGTTTGGAGTTCCCCTTACTGGAGGTGTTCAAGGAATGACTGGATGTGGCACTCAGTGCTCTGGGCTGGGTGGCAAGGTGAGGATTTGGTCACAGGCTCAATGGACTTGGAGGTTTTTTCCAACCTGAGTGATTCTGGAATTCTGCACAGCTCACAGAGGTGCCACTGCAGAGAACTTGGACATGCTGGTTCCTACCACTTCCAATGCAAGAAAATTTTTGAAAAGGATTGGGGGTTTTCTCTAAATGCTTAGTGTTCAGAATGCAATAGAATACTTTGTTCTGATGAGAGCTAACCCAGCACACCAGAAGATGCAATATGCTGGTACAAGCATCTGGTATCTGCTTAGGGCTGTCAGTGGGGGTTAGTTCCCTTTACTATTTTGTGATGGAAGCTTTGATGAGAAAGTGAAATGAGAGGACTCTTAAAAATTGCAGTATGTGTCTCTTTTGGGTGATTGTGTGTTGTGAGAAGAGGTCAGGATCTCTCAAGAGACCACAGCACTGGGTATGTACACTTGCAAATTATATATAACCATTTCTACTCACCAGAGAATTAAAAGGAGAAAATGGTTTGAGAAAGGCAGAGTGGGTGCCTCAGCTGTTTTACTTTTCCCCTGTATGCAGGTAAATGGTCAAGCTCTCCCTGAGCACTGTTTGTTTAACAACTAAAAAGAAAGCACTTCATGTCACTCCAAAGAGTAAATATCTGAAGTTATGGATTAACTAAGTTCCAGCAGAGCTTCTGGAGGAAGAACAGATCACGCTGATTCCCACTGAATAAAGCAGTAAGTGCTTCAAAAGTATTGTATCCTTTGAGATTTCTAAGTACAGCTTCCTTTAATGGAGCATGAAGCTTGTTAAAAATGTCCAGTGACAAGGGGAGGGTGTCAAGACAGGCCAGAAGTTTTCTGCTGGTGTATTAAAGGGAATGAGCAAACCGGTCTGGAGGGGCCCTAGTGAACAGCCACTCCAGAGCTGGAGTCAGAGACAGGGCACAGCAGAGCTTTCAGCAGAGATGTAGCTTTCTGAAAAGCCAGTGAGCGAGCTGGCTGAGCTGGATGGGTGGGAACTGTCTGCAGCAGGGTCTTGTGTCACTCAGCAATGTGCTCTTCTTGACACCTGCCCTCTCCTCCTCAGGTAACTCCTGCTGCAGCATGTGGAAGCTCCTCACTGTGGGGCTGCTGCTGGCTGCCTGCTCTTCCTGGGGCTGCTGCACCTCAAGTAAGCATTCTTTTGAGAGATGGCCTTCAACCTTTCCCAGTAGCTGCAGTTTCATTTCCTGCTCCTCTGTTAGTCAGAGGGAGTGGCTGGAATCATTCTCATTACGGGGGTTTGACTTCCTTTAGCTGAGGTTGACAAACAGTGCTGGGGCCATGGCAGCTGCCTGGTCAGAACCCTGCTGAGCCCCATGAGATGTCAGAGTACCACAGGGCAGAGGCTGGAGCTTGCAGCACAGCACAGACAGCACATGGTGTCTAGGGCAGCCTCTCTTGCTGTACTGGAGAGAGGCTCTTCCTCTCATAGATGTCCTTTGGGAAGCACCACTGCGAGTTTTCAGCCAGCTCTTGTCTCTGCTTCTGCTCTCACCTTTTTGCTTGCAGTATTTTACAGCAGTAAAGATGCAAACCGAGTCCTGAGAATCCAGAAGAGGTCAAATACTTTCCTGGAGGAGCTCAAGCCAGGCTCTGTGGAGCGTGAGTGTATTGAAGAGCGCTGTGACTTTGAGGAAGCCAGTGAGATATTTGAAACCAAGGAAGAAACAGTAAGTTGGTTTGTTTTTAAGGATAAGATAACTTAGTCAGTCAATGATTTTCTTAAAATATCGCAATCCAGGGCACAGGAGATCATGCTGTCAGTACTGAACATGGATCTTTCCTGACTCCTCAGGTGTAGGCATGGTTTTGAGTGTCACTGTGTTACAGTGATTGTCAAGTTACCCCTCTATGGGCCACAAAGCTTGGCTACTCAAGAATGTCCCACCTGACCCACCTGGTGAGGTTTGGGTCCTAGACAGTTAATTCCAATCCTTGCTTGACCCCACTGGCTATTCTTGCTGCTACTGAGTTTCTCCCAGTCCTTTCAGTCTTTCCCCTTTGTTGTCTATTCATCAGTCCTGGCTGCTTTTCAGTGTATCTCCCAAGTCTCCCAGTTATGCCTGACAAACCTTTCTCTTATCACTACATTGTTTCTCTCCTTCTCCAAACTCCTATTTTGAATTGGACACTATGTTTACTGTCTGCTGATTCCTGGCCCTTTCTACACTCAGTTGTTGTGTTGGGTTGTACTCCCTGTTGCTGTTTTTAGCAGAGTAGGCTCAAAGCATAGGATTACCCAGTCCTTGCTGTCCCTCAGATCCCAGAGGAGAGAGGGACTGTCCTTAGAATGCCCAAGTTTTGTCTAACTGGGCTCAAATGAACTCAGGTGACTTACCTGGCAGTAAGTGCCAAGAAAATAGCCTGCAAGCAGAGCAGGGGAGTCTGTGCTTAGTGCAGGCAGTACAGGGGGCTCACTGGCTGCTTTTCTTGGTTTGTAGTGCCAGTCACTGCACTGCCAAGAAGAATGAGACTGATGTTACTGACCCAAGTGCTGTGTCCTGTTGGCCAAGACCATGAAACACTTAAAATCCCTCACTTGTGAAAAATGGTTTTCTTGCTGTAATACAAGTTTTATTTCTCCACAGCTAAATTTTTGGAGCAAGTACATAGGTAAGTAAAGACTTTCCTAATCACTTCTCTGTGTTTCCTCAGGAGTTACTAGTACTCAGCCTTCCTCCTGCCATATGTCATGTACTGATTCAAATTCTCATTCTCTCTCATAAGGATTGTGCAGAGGATGTTTTCCTGTTCTATCATACAAGCAGTCTTCCAAAACACTTGAGGTGCACCTGTACCTATCATCAGTCATCTTCCCAGAGTTAAGGAATTGGTGAAAAATGCTTTGACGCTCTAACCATGCCTGACGTGGTCCAGCAGTAACCTGCTGCTGTCCTGCCTGCTTCAGGCTTTACTCTTTGTTCCCCTTCTGCCCACTCCACTCACTCTGCAGATGTAATTGAGAACCCAAACAGATGACCCTGCCTCTGGCCAAGTGCCACAGAGGTGTCACCATTAAGTGCCAGAAACATGGCTGATACTTGGGAGTCTGGGGAGGGTCTGTTCGTGTTGATGTTTGATCTGTGAGCTCTGTATGGTTCAGCAACTGAGTTTTCCTACCTCTGTTTCAGATGGAGATCAGTGTAAACCAAATCCTTGTTCCAATGGGATCTGCAAGGACGCTATTGGAAAATTTTCCTGCATCTGTAACAAAGGCTGGGAGGGGGTTTTGTGCAGTTATGGTAACACTGCATTTAATCCACTATAAAATAACATCCTTTGTGACAGGGATCTCTCTGTGATAGGGATGGACACTTCAGTTAATGCATGGCATATTCTTTCTTTACTACTTTCTTTACTAGTGTGGTTTCTCTCTTGCTTCTTGGTGTAGTAAGAGGTTTATCTGTGCTTATCTAAAGCAAAATTAACTTTGTATTGCCATAGGATAATTTTAAAGGTTTGAGATATCTAAATTTTAGACAATATTGGAAATAATCTGTGAAGCAGGGGTTTACTTTAGAATTGGGGATTATGGTGGGGTTTTTAAATAGAGGGGAAAACCCAATCCACTGTGAATATTTTATTACTGTAACAGTTCCTTCCTTGGACAGAAGCTGCATAGAATATTTAGGGATGAGCTTTGTATGTCATGTATCATCAACAGCTTTCACTGTGGGACTTGGCACATAGTGACAGGGCATTTTCTGTTCTCCAGTCTGCAGTAATCTGTTTCCTCCATCTCCCCACTCCCTGATTCTGGACCTAGGTCTGCTTGCTGTCTAGAGGCCTGAGTGTCATTGAAGCCCACAGCTGTCATTCCAAATCCATTGACAGCTGTTACCCACTTGAAGCACGATGTCACTTTGCCACCTTACCTTTCTGTGACTCTGGCTTCCCAACTCCACGTCTCTCTTGCTGTTTGTTTTTCCCACAGAGGTCAAATACAGCAACTGTTCCACGGACAATGGGGGCTGTGAACATTTCTGCAGGGAGGACCCTGCTGAGCAGCATCGCTTGTGCAGCTGTGCATCGGGATATCAGCTCAAGGATGACCACACCACGTGTGAGCCTGTAGGTAAGAGCAGGGTGTTTGTAGTTCAGCTTTGGCAGAGGATTATTCAGACTGATGTAAAAGAGTTTTAGGGGAGATATGTCTGCAGTGCATTTTGTACTCATTTTCAAAACATCTATTCCATGAAGAGTAACTCTGCCTGCATTTCCCAGCTCCATTCCCACTTTATGGCCATTTATTCATGTTTGTCTCAGGGAGACATAAAGGGGAATCAGGAGACTGCCTCCTCTGCCAAGCTGAGGGACTTCCATGAAGCCTCTGAACAACATTGCCTAGATTAGACAGAGGAAATGCTCTAAAAAGAGGATTGGGTGACCTGTGCTTTGCTAGTGAGTTCTCTGCCTCTTCTGCAGTGGAGTTCCCCTGTGGAAGAGTGAAGTCAGACTACGTTGAAGCCAAAGCAGACTTCAATATTCGGCTCGTTAATGGAACAGTTGGAAGAAGGGGAGGCAGCCCTTGGCAGGTAAGGACAAAGGGATTCTTTGCCACAAATAGCTCAGGCTCTACCTGAACTGCTCTGCCTCCCTCTCTGCCCCAGAAAGGCTCTTGTCTTGTTACTGATGGTGTCATATGAAGTTAAGATTCCCTTTGCTTTTTCAAAAGTATCCCAAAGGTTGGAGTAGCAGGAAAAAATAATTTAGTATCTGTGAGGATTCTTGACCTTGTTCTTGTTGCCAAATATTTGAACTTACTGTGCCAACACTGCCAAGAGAGAGGATGGTGATGGCACTCACAGCAACTGCTCTGTTGTTCCATCCTGGAGAACTCATGTGTGACGTGTGCTTCAGCTCCTGCAACAGCCTTCCAGTGGGAGGTGATCTTCCTGCCCTTTCTTATAAGTCTTGTCTGTCATAAATTTAAGATAGCAGACTTCATCAGCAAAATATGCCATGGCAGGTTGGCTTATCACAAAGAAAAGGGAGACCTCACAGGTCTTACCATGGAACTAATGAATGCAAATAATTAGGGCCTGGTTCCCTTTGATATTAAAGGGCCTTTTACACCACAGCATGAGAGCTGCAGCCTGAGATGATGCAGGTATTTGGTGTGGGACACACCCCTCGTTTTTGCCCTGTATTTCAAAGCTTTTAGTACAAAGTGCTTCTTTGCAGTGACCAGCATCACCCCAAGCTGCAGCATCACCCCAAGCTGATTTGGATGAAGCCAGCCCTCATTCAGGAAGGACATTGAAAACTTTTTTGTAGATATTTCACAGAGACTCTATTTATAGGGCTTTTGTTCCCCTGTAGAGCTTTGGCTTCAGTGAATATGACATGCTTTGGTGCTTGCTAAGTCTGGGCATTTGGCAGCACCCAAGAAGAATGAGTACAGTATTCTGTGAGCTGTGCTCCATGCAGTGTCACACCTCCCTTGTCTTGTTTCAGATTATGCTGCAAAATACCGAAGGGACGTTTCTGTGTGGGGGTGTTCTCATCCATCCAGCTTGGGTCCTAACAGCAGCACACTGCCTTGAGGAACACAAGGGGTTCAAAGTTAAACTTGGTATGGAAAATCACCTGTCCCTGTGTTTTTTAAATATAACTGTTTATTTCCTAACATTTATCATCTCAGGGAAAAGACTGGCAAGTTCTGAAGACAAAAGTCCTTGGTTGTAGGAGTGGTCTGTCTAGGCACTATTTTAATATGCACTTTAGCTTAAAACAAAGTTTAGTAAAAATCTGATTTCATTTCAGCTATTTGAACCTTACTCTGATGTCTACTGAGCACTGCTGATGGTCTGTAAAGTAGAAAGTCTTGGTCTCTTCTGCCTGTGTTTTTCTGGTGATGAAAATATTTAAGACCATCCCAATACTGAAAAAAAGTCTTGATCCCAGAAGGAGAATGTCACAGGATCTCTTTCTGCTTTTTCATGTATTTAAACACTATTACTTAAGAATGTTTCACTGGAGAGGTGCTGCAGAATGGCAACACTGCCTTTATCTGCTCTGATGCCCTGGAGCACAAGAAAATGTCACTATGTCAAGTAAGTGCTGCTGCTGAATTAACAGACCAAGATAATTAGTGTTTCATTCACACTTGGATTTTCTTTAATAATGTTTTCTATCTAGCATTGGTGCTGAGGCATAACAGTTCAACTGCTTGCTTTCCATTTAGTGAAAGGATAGATTATTCCCAGTATTTGTGGAGTCCTGCCAATATATTGTCTGTGTATAGAACCTTAAAAATAGATGTCTGTGTGCATGTTCCATACACACTGTGGATGTGCAGATGCTAGAGAGCAGAGATAATAAGTTTATGTACATCCAACATAAAGAAGGAATTGAAAAGTGTGTGATGTAGCCTTGGGTCCTCTCAGTGCCAGAATATTCACCTTTTCACAGAGACATCTGTCACCACAAAAGCAGTTCTCATCAGAAAAACCCGGAGACATCCGTGAGCAACAAGGAGAGTTTTGGGTGAAGACATTGCCCTGTGCATGGGGACAGCCAGGAAAGTGTTGCTACTGAGCCTGCACAGGTGCTACTCAACCTGTGTCTGTCAGGCTGGGATACCCCACACCCTTCAGGACTTGTCTCACTGCAGCTTGCCACCCACAGGAGCAAAACTGGAGGGGAAACCTGCATCTCAGTTTACACTCAGCTTGGAGAGAAGTCTTGTAGCAACCCTAATGTGGCTTTTTAGTGTCTGAAATAGAAAGTTAGTTCTCCAAGTAGCTGAAGTTTTGGAAGATGGATTTGAGAATAAAACAATATTCCTGTTTGTGGCTCTTGTTCCTGCATCACCAGCCTAAGAGCATCCAGAAGTGTGTTCAGAACTCCAAGAAGATAGAACAGATAGGTGGATGTAATGATTAAATTCAAAATCATGTTTCTGCCTTCACAGTTAATATTTTTGTGCCAGCAGCAAGATTATGATGGTCCTTATTGTGTAGCAGGAACTCGATGCATTTCCACAACCTCTGGTTTCAGTACCTCCAGGTGTACATCCAGGATTTTGGAATTTAAAACTCCGGGGGTGGATAACCCACCAGAAGTCAAAGGGTGTCCCCTGGAGGTGAGGGAGTCTGTCACTGCAGTGCAGAAGGTGCCACCCCCTGTTTGGTGGGTGCCTCAGGATGGAGACAGCTGGTGTACAGAGTGTGGGGCCCCACAGCAGGTGTGTTCCTGCACAGCCACTCTGCCCCCTCAGAGGAGATGGTCTGACAGTGCTTGAGTCCAGAGTTATTTCTGAGGCCTAAAGCAGAGTTTGTATCTGTGAAGGCAGGAATAAAGCCCTGCCAGCCAGCCCCCAGCCACAGTGGATTCAGGCTGCCTCAGTGTGCTCTGAACACTGTCACTGCAAAGAGATTGTGATGGGAGAAAACTGATTTGTGATTGTTGACTCACTACTAGCAAATCCATCAGGGGCTGGTGCCACTCAGTACAAGACATCAGAGCAGGTTCAGCTGTCTGCTCCAGCCACATGTGAACTGTCCATTTGTCTGTCTGCAGAGGAGCAAGAAGAGAGACTCAGGTGGTCTGGAAGACCAAGATCCAAAGCTGAGTTTAAGAGATCTTTTGAGAATATTTCTGTAACTACTGTGTCTTGTAAGTCCCTATGCTTGGAGATGCTCCTTACAGAAAAAAACTTGCAAGACCTTATTGGCAGCCTGCCAGAAAACCTAGCTCTGCTTTTCCTATTGCAATGTATCACAAATGCCTTCTTGCATTTTTGGCCCTTTTCATCATAGGTTCTTGCTTGCTGTTCCATAACTGCTTGACCCATGAAGTAGCCATGATCATGTCGCACAAATAGCAACTGAGGAGTCTTAAGCAGTGAAAAATTCCTTAAAATACAGATGTAAGATTTCAGAAAGGAATAATCTTACCCATCAGTCAACTTTATCCTACAAATGCTGACATTCAGCCATTCAGGCCCTGGCTATGCAGTGTAAAGCTCATGTCCTGTTGAAAATGTCCTGTTTTGTGGTGTGCTTGCTCTCCCAGCTTTGAATGCTGGCTCCAAGGAGCTTGTTTTCCTCCTGACTCACATTGCACAAGTGTTCTGAAAGATGAACACCACAGGGCAATTTGATTTCTCAGCTGATGACCAGAGCTCTAAAGCTCTGTAGGTATTCATGATTTCCATAAATATGAAAAGTTTAGAGATTTGTCCATCTGTTAAGAGCACTGTTAACTTATGACATAAACAGTTGTATTACAAGAGAAGTAAAAACATGGAGTGCAGTCCTAACACCCGGTCTAATCCAGATGCTTTGGTCTTCACAGCAAAGGAAGCTTTGACAGCATCTGCCATCTTGTTTGCTCTTCCAGGTAAATTCCGTTTCCGTCCTGAGGCAGATGAGCAAACCATTTGGATTGATAAATGGGTGACCCACGAAAATTACACCAAGACGACCTCAGATAATGACATAGCCATGCTGCACTTGGCTGAGCATGTGATGTATTACAAATACGCGCTCCCCATCTGCCTCCCCACCCGCAACCTGGCGGAGCAGGAGCTGATGAGGAGCGGGAAGCAGGCGGTGGTGACGGGCTGGGGCACCATGAGCGAGCGTAACCACACCTACGCCGCTTCCCTCAGGTACATCCAGATCCCCATCGTGCCCCGCAACGAGTGCGCCCAGGCCATGAGCTCCCAGATCTCTGACAACATGCTGTGTGCTGGGAGCCCGGGAGACAGGAAAGACTCCTGCCGTGGGGACAGCGGGGGCCCTATGTTCACTAGATACAAGGATACTTGGTTTTTGGTAGGGCTGGTGAGCTGGGGTGAAGGCTGTGGAAGAAAGGAGAAATTTGGAGTCTACACCAAAGTTAGTCAGTACCTTGAGTGGATCCAGCACCACATAGATACATCAGCTCCTTTGAAGGGTTAATTGTGATCCAGAGTCGGGAGTGTTGTGACTCTGTGTTCGTGACAGTATGCACTATAATGTACTGTCAGATCTTCAGTATTAAATATTGAGTATGTGTTAACCTTGTGTGCTGTTTTCCTTTTTTTTTGTATCTATTTTCTTTTTTCTATTTTCTTGCTGTTTTCCTTTTCTGTATCTATTTTTTTTTCCTACTTTTTTTTCTCGTTTACATTGGTTTGTTGCAGGTTATGTTGTTTATTTGTGGCATGGTCCTACCTTGGCCTTACAGGCAAGAAAATATCCTCTGTTAGCTGAGATGCTGTACATACAGCATTGTAGAAAATAGGGTTGTCCATGGTCAGACAACTCCATCTTCGAAGTAAAAATGTCAGTTGTGTAAAATGTCTGAAGTGGTTGGGGTGGAGACAGGAGGGAACACAGAAAAGTGTTTTGCCAATAACCCTAGAGATGCAGTTCTGTCATTTCAGCTGTACTGCAAGGTATTACCCACAGTAACTCTTTCGGTTTGCTCGGTATTTGTATAATTTTTCTTTCAACCCAGTGAAATTTTTATTACATTATTACTACCTCCAGTTCTTCACACCTTACTCCAGTGTTCACAGATTGTTGATTCAGCAGCATATTTGGATCAGTGAAGAACTTCAGTCTGCTCTTGTGACAAGATTGTTAAACAAAAACCTCCCAGGTATATTGAAATTTTATTAGAGTTTGAAAGAAATTTAATGTGATATCAGCAAGGAGGCTTAATACCTCTTAAATTTGTTCCCTCAGAAGCTGCCTCTGTGTTTATTACCCAAGTGAGGATTTTGAGTCATGCACTGAAGAAGTAGCAGTCTAGCCAAGGGCTTCTGTGTCACTTGCTGGCTCTGTCTCTCTCCTCTCCTCCTCTTTTTGCCTTGAGACAGGATTTAGGGATGGACAAATTAAAGAATAATGCTTTGAACAGCAGCCTTCCCAGCAGGCCTGCACTGGGAAGAGGGAACTTGTAACATTGACTTGCACAAATGTGTTCAAAGCCAGTAAAACACAGGACTAAGTAGAAATTGTAATGTTGGAGTGGCAGTGGCTGTGACAGGGCAGAATTTGCCTGCCTGTGAATCCTCCTGCACCCAGCTCTGCATATTTCAGCAGAGGTTTACAGAGCAGCTTGTCTATTTTCCAAATGGGTTGGTCTTACCTGCTGAAAGGTGATGGAATGTCAGAAATCTGTTCTCAAAATTTCCGTATTTTCCCGAATAGATTTGTTGTAAAAGGTAGCTTTTATTACTGAAGGCTATTTTTAAGACCTTTTGATTCTCTTTCTAGTGTACCTGTGTATATGTGTGGAAACACACATGCAATTTTCTTTTGATTTTGGTTTTCTAGTGTGTTTCATAGAATCCAGGTTGTCTCTCCTCTGTCAATATTTGTGAAGAGTTAATGATCAACCTCTTGACCTCATGGCTGTTCCTGGTGTACATCCAAATCTCTTTTCTGTCTTCCTCTAAAAAATGAAGAAAAAAGTGAGTATAATTGCATGGTTCTGTGTAGATGAACTCATTCTGGATCCTGTGTTTTTGAAAACACACTGCAGGAAGCAGAGGGGTACGTGCTGCTGAATCCTGGTAAATCATTCAGCGTGGGATGGTAATGCCAAGAAATCCCAACTTCTGTCTTGCACCTGTACGTGGTGGTTGGTGCCTGGCTGGGCTTGGTGTGGGATTTTACTTGCCAAGCCCATCAGGAACTGCACAGTGGCTGCTGGGACTGCTGGAGCTCCTGGCTGGTTGTGCATCTGCCCTTGGCACAAGAGCCAGCACAGCAGGGACTGGGATGTGGCTGGGAGTGGCACCTGCTCCTCTGGAGTCTGGCCCCTGCACTCCTGTGCTCCCCATGGCTTTTCCACAGGGACTCTGGCTCAGACCCTGTGCCACAGCCTGGGCTGGCTCAGCCTCTGCCTGTGGGGATTCCTGCTGGGGTGGCTTGGAAAAACAAGGGCCATGAGGTCAGAATGAACTGGGGAGATTCTGATTTCTTTGTCCCTGCTCTTGTCCTCTTGCTTCTACTTCATCTTTGTTGCTGGCTGCTTTCATGACAACAGACTAATTTGATTCTTCTTTTCCCTCTGAAGCACAGAGGGCACAGTTAGAGCTGGAACATGGTGATGTTGGGGAAAAGGAGACTTTAAAGGATGCTTTTGGACAGAGTGTGTGCACAAAGGGTGACACTGGACAAATAGGGATGGCAGGAGATGTTTTCAGCTGGAACAAAACACTGGTGGGCTCTGTGACCCACAAGCCACTGTGGGACAGTGCTGCAGTGTAGGGGGACAGAATATAAGAAAATAGTGTAGACAGTAATCTTACCCCTAAGGAGTTGCAGCTGGGCCAATTAGCAAAGATTATGAGCAGGCCTGACTTTAACAGGCCACAGCTGTAAGCAATGAGAAGAAGAGTGCTATAAAAGAGCTGGCTGGTTGGGGAGGGCACTGGAGTCAGGTGGCTGCTTTGTGAAGAAGAAAGAGTCAGTGCTCTGAAGAGCTGCCCAGGAGAAACACCAAGAAGGTATGAATGAAACTTTTGTGATTAGGAGATAACAGTATGGAATCCCTGCAATAAGATGACAGCACTGCAGGACAAGAGCTGGCTGTCCCTGAGCACCCTGAGGCCCTGGAGGAGACAGCCAGGCCTGGCAGGCCCAGGGGAGCCCTGGCTGCCCAGGGTGAGCAGGGCCAGGGTCTTGCAGGGCAGAACGAAACCACAACACCTGCAGCCAGCCAGGCAGGAAGGAAATGGGGGAAATGTAACAGGGCAAAACCAGTGATGGGAGGGCTCTGGCCAGAAGGGAACAGGGGCTGTTCAACCTGGGACTGGGGAGGTGGTTTGGAAATGCCTCAGCCCACCCCTCAAACCACCCAGACAAACATCAGCTCTCTTTGGAGCTCTATGACTCCAGGGTAACAGGAGGAGCACTGTGTCATCGTGGACATTGCCCCTGGCAGGTAATAGTTCCAGTCTCACCATAAACACTGCACCTAAATGCTTTCTTACTTTATCATCACTGGGTCCGTCAGGAGGAGCAGAGTTCATCAAGCCATTATAATGTTGTTTTTTCAGGTCAAGAGCAATAGAACTGCATGTATTGCTCAGTCTTCTGCCAGGCTTTTTGATAAGAGGGACCTTAAATACTTTTATCAGTCTTCCCCTATCTTGCTTTTGGATTGGAATGTTAATACCCTCTCTATTAAGTCAGTCAGATCATCTGTGCTTTCAGGTTGTGTCTGCATGTCCTTGGGGGAAAGCCAGGCTTTGCCTCCTTTTGGAAGGCTGGTAATTTTTACAAGGTAAGTTCCAGGGCCAGGTGAGGTTCCTTAGAATGCTGAGCATGGTAAGGGAGGTAAAACTGAGGGCTCAAAGGTGAAGGCAAGTGCATGTGGCAAGCAGGGACAACTGAAGTGTTTGTTTCCATTGTCTTGTTTTGGATTTTAAATCGTGGTTTGGGGCATTTTTGGTGCATGTCCTTATTTGTTACTAATTTTCACTCTTTTGTCTCTGGTCAGTGTCCGAGTGCTGTGTGGGAGATTGTGCACAGAAATTCTGATCTATAAAACCCTCATGTTACCCTCAGTCTGTTTTACACACCTCTTAGGATGTACAAGTAACCGGCAGCAACCCCCATAAACAGTAGGACTGGACTGAAGCACCAGAACTACAAAAAAAGCTGGGGGATGAAAAAAAAGAATCCCTTCTAACCCCTGAACCTCCCAGACCAAACAGACTCTGGCTCTGAACAGCTCAACACAGTTCAATTATTTTTTACAGTGTTTCATCTGCCGCTATGGCAGTAAAGAATGTCCTGGCTTTCAAGAAATTAATTATAACTAAAAAAACCCCAAACCCTAAGCCCCTGAAGAGCTCAGCATGCTAAAAACACACACCTGAGGTAGTTACTGCATTATACACATACCTGGAGAAAGCAGGAGCAGAGCTCTTTGGTGCCCCAGGCAGCACAGGTGTCCCTCAGTGAAGGTGTTCTCCTCACTTCATGTGGGTGTCCCAGCCCACAGCTCTGTTACTGTCATTCCCTCCGCTCTCACAGGGGCAAATTCAACCTGTGCCCCCTACACAAACTCGCAGTCTCTCTATGACTGGTGCCAGCAGTCACTCAGTCAACACCAGAATCCCCAGAATTACAGACTACTCATTACAAAACTCTGCTCCTGTAGCACAAAGGTGATTTTTCTTAATGAAAAAACATCGACTGCCAATTACCTGTGCAAGACTCCTCCTTATTGGAGGCAAGCTCAGCAGAGACAGCCATTTTCAGAGATAGAGGCAAAGAAGCCACAGAGTACCAGATGTTATTCTACTGTCAGTCTGTAGCAGCAGGAACAAAGAAACAGCATAATCCCCTCTAAGAATGTTCTCCTTCCCACTGGTAAAAGAGACTTTTGCAAAGTCACTGGTAAGCCACAGTGACATTTTTAGTGCTCAATCTGCTGGCTTTCTTTTTACATTAGTCTTCGTGAAAAGAAAATCCTTTGCATGGAACACGATCAATACTTCTAAATCAAAAGCAATAGATGCAGATCTCCAAAGACATAACAACTGATTAATAAAAAGCAGTGAATAAAAAGAAAATGGACAAAGTTGAACAAAAATTAACCCCTCAGTTTTTCCACATCCTAGGTAGTCTGTGTATACCTTCATCTGAGCAATGAACAGGCAGTCCCCTCCCAAAAAAAAAAACCCAGAAGATGTTTTATTTTTTAAAGTGTTGCAATACAACAAATACATGATCTGTACAAAGGACACAACAGGGCCAGTTTAAATACAATCAGGAGAAAGGAGTCCCCACATTCACAGTCCTCAGACAACATCTTCTACCAGAACCTGAACCAACAATTTAAGGATTCACTTAAAAAACAAACTAAAAAACCAAACCCACCCCAAACAAGTTAAAAAATTTAAAGGTCTCCAAAGAGTCTGTGGGTGTATTGTCTTACAGCAGAGCTCATGGGGCATTCTGTGAAGGGTCACAATGGCATCTTATTGCCCTCAATGCTGATTTTCACTGCATGGGCCGTTCTGCTTTTTTTCCTGATATCTGTGAATTTCCGCA